GCCAGTACTGGTATAGAATTCATGATAATTTCTAGGTGTAAGTTATTTCCAAGTAGGAATTTGAATTTGGCTTTAAAATTATTTCCCCTTTTAAACTTTAATTTATCTCATTTGGATTCTGAAGCATACAAATGAACTTTATCTCCTTTCAACATCACAATAGTGTGATGTACATTGGACCAAGAATTAGTACCTGGCCCATGGATGTAGCCTAGGGGAAGCACCGGGGGGGGGCAGCTCCCCCCCAATCAAGTAAAGCAACAGAAATACTTAACTAACTGACCAATCACATTAGCTCTGCCCCCCTTTCAAAAGTCCTGCCCCCCAACAAAGATCCTGGCTACGCCAATGACCTGGCCCCAAGCTTCATAACTGAGTAGAATTTCTCAACATTTCACATTATGTGTAGTTTCAGGATTCTTCACATTAACACCAATTATGATTTTGAGCAGACAAATAGCTAACAAAACTTTAAGCAACCTACTCTCGCACCTGCTACCAACTACAAATTAGTTCTCCCTTCAAGGTCGCAGCCTCCTGTGGGAGCATTTCCTTTGAAAATGGAATCAGAAAAATGAATTTCACAACATTTAGTTCAGCCCAAATCTACCTCTAACCACTCAGTTACAACAGCTGAGGAATGGAATTTTATCAGGAATATTTTATCTGCTTTTAACTGTGTATTTCCACATCAACAGCCTAGAGGCTTAGGAAGTGAGAGCTGTCTCTTTCAGATGTTATACGAATGGTATAGCACTTTGCTTCTGAAGCAATCTAGCAAATGCTTCATGCACTGTTTCATTTCACAGTAAGAGTATTTCCATTCGTGTAGGTGACCCGTTCAATACAGCTTTGTCCCCAGATAAACCAACCTTGGGTCGCTTTCCTCATAAGTACAGTGCACAAGACTGAATAAACTTAAGATTTAGAATGTTGTGCCTTGATCAGCGGGACGCGGGTGGCACTGTGGGTTAAACTACAGAGCCTAGGACTTGCCTATCAGAAGGTTGGTGGTTCGAATCCCCACGACGGGGTGAGCTCCGATTGGTCGGTCCCAGCTCCTGCCAACCTAGCAGTTTGAAAGCACATCAAAGTGCAAGTAGATAAATAGGTACCGCTCCGGCGGGAAGGTAAACGGTGTTTCCATGCGCTGCTCTGGTTCACCAGAAGCAGCTTAGTCCTGCTGGCCACATGACCCGGAAGCTGTAGGCCGGCTCCCTTGGCCAATAAAGCGAGATGAGCGCTGCAACCCCAGAGTCGGCCACGACTGGACCTAATAGTCAGGGGTCCCTTTACCTTGACCTTGACCATCTTTGGATTTATCAGCAGACATAAAGCCAATTTACCACAAGTTCCACTTCCACTGAAGTCCTTAGCACACTGAGCCATATACAGGTCTATCAGGTTTGAGAACACCTTTATCATTTATGGTATAAGTGGCAAACCCTTTTCAGCCCGAGGGCCACACTGAGCGTCAACCACCTGTCCAAGCAGCATTGTGCATGGCCAAAGGACATGTGTGCGTACAGGCTCACTACAAATACAGCCAGCATGGCTGAGGCTGCATTGCTCTTCCACCTCTCCAACACCGTGTGTCACTGCTGGTACCAAAAGGGAGAGAGGAAAAGACAAAGCAGCATGGAACTCAACATGGTTTTTGTCTCAGTAACACAGCGAATCCAATGCGCTATGCAGAGCTTCCTGTGACTGCATCCAGCACAACACAACCCAGACAGCACACATGCACTCGCTACACAAGCACATTCACCACACACAGTTTTTTCACCAGACATGTAACCACAAAGTACACTCGTCCTTTTCTCATTCTCCACACTCATGTGCATATGCAGCCTTGCCAACCACTCCAGTGCTGGGATGAGAGTGTCTGGAAATGTTGTGTTTTATACTCTTAAAGATCAGGCTTCAATCTTAGTTCCATGGTGCTCAGTGCAAAGATCAGAAAGAAAAATCCTCTTTTGTTTTATTTCCTGATCAGAAATAAAGGCACTGGTGAGCCACTTCTCATGGCATGAGGGGCCAGATCTGGGCCACAGGTTGGCCCCCCCGATTGATGTAAACACTCACCATGACAAGTGAGAGAACTGAGATAGATTGCACTGAGCCCTGGTCTCATTAGACAAAGCGTTCCACCAAAAAGGCTCTGGCTCTGGTTGAGGACAGCTGGGTATGTTTTGGGCCAGGGACCACCAGCAGGTTGCTGTTAGATGAGCGTCACACTCTTTGGGGGGTGTATTGGAAGATAATTCCCACAGATAAGAAAGGTCACAGACTGTTTAGGGCTATAAGGTTAGCACCAAAACCTTGAAACTCATTCGATACTCCACCTGGAGCCAATCCAATTGATGAACAACCAACTGAATGTGGGCTCTCCACAAAGTCCAAGTAAGAACTAGTGCATCTGCATTTTAGACCATTTGGAGTTTCTGGAGCAGTCTTGAGGGTAGCCCTGCGTATCTCTCTCTCTCTATCGCATTTATACACTGCCCTCCCCGGCTCAGGCGTAGAGCAAGTTAAAGTAGTCTAGTCTGCAGGTGACTGCTGCAAGGATCACCATGGCTAGGTTGGAAAGGGACAGGTACGGTCCTGACATAGATTAAAAAATGTCAGTTTGGCTACATTTGTGACCAGTGCCTCCATAGAGACAGAAGCGTCCAGGATCACACTGGGACTCCTGATGGCAGCTACAGGTGACTACTGTGCCCCATGAAGAGCTGGGAGCTGGAAACCGAACCGAAATCATTCCGGCCCAGCCATTGGACGCCCATCCTTAATGGATTGAGATTCAGCTGACTCCGTTTCCTCCATCCCAGCACACCCACCAAAAAATTGGCCAATATATCCAGGGTAGCATCTGGCCAGGGCCACGAAGCAGTAGATCCATGATGTTTGTGGTCATGTACAAGATATTTGAATAAAGGATGAATTTGGGGTTCCCCAATGCAAAAAGCATGATGATCCATGAAGATCCATGCTTCAAAACCACGTTTTTGGGCCATGAAGTGGCCATAGAACCGTGGATCCGTGATTTTTGTGGTGCAGGCTGTGCCCCTGGCTATGATGTGTGATTTGACGGTGAGTTTGGGTTGGCTCAATGCGTGAGGATCCATGAGGATCCATGCTTTGAAACCACGTTTTTGGGCCACGGTGTCACCAGGAAGCTGTGGATCCATGATTTTTGTGGTGCATGCTGTGCTCATGGCCATGATATTTGATCTGATGGTGACTTTGGGCTGCTCTAGTGCAAAAATCATAAGGATCCATGTTTTTTAACCATGTTTTTGTGCCATTGCTGCACCACGAAACAGTGGATGGGTGATTTTTTGGGTTCTGCCTACAGACTAAGATGTGGTCTACAGTATCATGGTGTTTTTATTTTCTTTCAATATAAAAATCATATGAATTCATGAGGATCCGTGCCTCGGATCCATGTTTTTGTGGTGCTGCAGCGTGGCAAATGTTGGATCCATGTTTTTTATAGTCCAGTCCGTAAACGTGCCTTCCAGGTGTGATTTGACACTGCATTTGTTGGAGTTATTTTTATAAAAGTGGAGGATCCATGTAGATCCGCCTTTAACCCAGACCCCTCTGATTACAAGCTCACCACGTTTATAATTGAAGCAAGATATAAGGGAATCCTTGGTGGGGAGTGCAATTTTTTTTATCTCACCGTAGAGGGAGAGGCAAAGAGCTGATATAGGGCTTTAATGAAAGGTTCTCTCAGGCTGTTGATAAAAGTAATTGGAGCTCCACGTGCCAATTGCTCTCCTTACGAAGCGGGGTGTAACTCTTTCCCTTTGAAGGAAGTTACTGAACTGCAAGGGAGGTTGTGCACCAGCAAAGGAGCGAGATAAAGAAATGCTTGGGCTCCCAAGGTTTCAAGCTTGCTGCTGCCATTAAACACGGTATTTGTACATTCAGAAGTTCCACAATCTGTATAATAATAATAATAATAATAATAAATTTTAATTTATACCCCGCCCTCCCCAGCCAAGACTGGGCTCAGGGTGACTAACAATCAATAATAAAAACAAGTTGATGAAAATACAATTTAAAAGATTAAGATACAACATTAAAACAATTAGGGAGCAATCTCATCATAGGAGAAAGGAAAAAGGAAAAGGGGGAGGGAATCAAACTGATTCTGAGCCAAAGGCCAGGTGGAACAACTCTGTCTTACAGGCCCTGCGGAAAGAGATCAGATCCCACAGGACCCTGGTCTCATGAGACAGAGCGTTCCACCAGGCCGGAGCCAGTGTTGAGAAGGCCCTGGCTCTGGTTGAGGCTAATCTAACTTCCTTAGGGCCTGGGACCTCTAGGGTGTTGCTATATATGGACCTTAAGGTCCTCCGTGGGGCATACCGGAAGAGGCGATCCTGTAGGTACGGGGGTCCTAGGAAATGAAGGGCTTTAAAGGTCAAAACCAGCACCTGAAATCTGACCCTGTACTCCACCGGGAGCCAGTGCAGCTGGAAAAGCACTGGGTGAATATGCTCCCATGGCAGAGACCCCGTGAGGAGCCTCGCTGCAGCATTCTGCACCCGCTGGAGTTTCTGGGACAGCTTCAAGGGCAGCCCCGCGTACAGCGAATTACAGTAGTCAAGTATGTAAAGGGTGCTTAGGATTTTGGCCTAAATCTTAATCCTTTACATATGGCTTATCCCCATTGCTTTAGCTCTCTGTCTTTCTGTCTGCAGACTGAATGAAAGATTCAGAAATCAATTAAAGGCGGGGCAATAATAATACTAATTCCTGCTGCCCCGGCGCTGTGCGTAAAAGCGAACCAAAAAAACCCAGAGTGCAGAAAGCATAGGAGCCAATCCTAGGGGCCAAGCCCCCCAATAAAAATTTGAGGGTGCAGGGGGCCCTCCCAAAGTTGATGGGACAATATTGCCATTCAAATAGTGTCATGTGATCGCTTATGTGGGGTAGGGCTTACTTGGCGCGCCCCCCCCCCCCATATTTTATCCAACTTGGCGGAAAGACTCGGCTAACGCAGTTCTTTCACTTGGGGTCAGAAAGGGGGCTAGTCCTCTTTGGCCTTGTCCCCCCGTAGTCTCGGCGCGGAGTTTCCCCTTAGACGTAAGCTGGCAGTTACCCCGAAGTAAAAGAACCGCAGCAGCAACCGTTGCCGTTTCCTTCCGGGGGCGCAAAAAGCCCACGGCCTGTTTTCCCCGCAGGCGCAACTCCGCCTCCAGCCCGCGAAGGCCGGAGGGGAGGAGAAGGGAGGAGGCGGCGGGGTTGCAGAAGAGCCGCCTGGCTGCGCCGCGATGGAGGGCGAATGCTGCGCGCTGCTGCTGTGGTCGGCTGCAGTCGCCGGGCTCTTGCTCTTCTACCTGGGCTTCGTGCGGCGCGTCACCGGGGCTGCGCGCACCGCCTTTCCGCGGAGGGAGGCCGGCCGAGTCGCAGGAGGAGGCGGTAGGCCGCCGGCCGATGCGGTGAGTGGGGGGCGTCGGGGCGACCCGTCTCCGCTGGCCCCGCGGCTGGGGGACCTCGATCTCGGATGATCGCCCTGCCAGCCCAGGATACTTAAGTGCTCTGCGATAGGAACCTCAAATAATACTGATAATGATAATGAATAATAAATTATTATTAAAAGAGAAAGTTTCATAGCTGTCAACTTTCAGATTTGAAAATAGGGGATCGGCAGCCTCGAAAATAAGGGATCAGCAGCCTCACCTGTCCTGGGACAGTCTACAGGATATCTAACAATCCGGGATAGCAGCAGGAGGAAACGGCGCTGGAATAAGGGAATTTCCTGCAAAAAAAGGGAAGGTTGACAGCTATGGAAGGTTTCCCAGTGGCGTAGCGTGGGGGGTGCAGGGGGGGCCGGCCGCACCGGGCGCAACATCTGGGGGTTAGGGGGCGCAAATTCACGGGTTAGGGGGTGCAAATCCATGGGTTAGGAGGCACAAATTACTTGCCTTGCCCCGGGTGCTGACAACCCACGCTACGCCACTGAGGTTTCCAGTCTGAATTTGGGGCTTTCTGTTACCAAAAACTGCTCGGCTACCACGGAATAATGGGATAATACCACGGGACAAAAGCAAGGTTGTGCGCTTAGGCAAGAAGAACCAGATGCTCCAATATAAGATGCATGGGCGTAGCCAAGAGAGGCAGCTGCCATCGAGGAAATAAAATTTGCTTAAGTAAGGGAGGTTCTGCCTCCTTGGCATATCCTCTCAGCACCTTGTGATCATAGCTGTCAGATTTGAAAATTAAGGGATCAGCAGCCTCGAAAATAAGGGATCAGCAGCCTCACCCGTCCCGGGGACATTCTACGGGATAGCTAACAATCCGGGATAGCAGCGGGAAAAGGCATTGGAATAAGGGAATTTCCCGCCAAAAAAGGTCGACAGCTGTGCTTGTGATAAGATTGGGGACACCTGGCTCACTAGCAGTACATGTGAAAAGGATCTTGGAGTCTCCCCCCCTCTCCCTGCCCAAACTCCGTGCTCTCTCTTCCACACCCCGGCACAAACTCCCCGCTCTTTCCGTGGGGCGTGTTGCCCCCACATTTTGTGGGCACCTGGTCCCTATATGGGACATATTGTGGGTGCCTTGGCACCCAGGGTCTTAGGGAGATGGTGCCTATGTAGTGGACCACAAGCTGAACATGAGTCAACAGTGTGATGCAGCAGCAAATAAAGCTAATGCTATTCTTAGCTGCATCAACAGAAGTACAGTGTGCAGAACAGGGGAAGTAATAGTACCACTCACTTCTGCCCTGGCCAGACCACACCTGGAATACCAGTTCTGGGTGCCACAATTTAAGCAGGATATTGACAATCTGGAACGTGTGCAGAGGAGGGTGACCAAGATGATCAAGGGTTTGGAAATCAAGCCTTATGAGGAATGGTTGAAGGGGCTGGGTATGTTTAGTCTGGAGAAGAGGAGACTGAGAGGAGATAGCCATCTTCAAATACCTAAAAGGGCTGTCACATGGAAGAGGGAGCAAGCTAGTTTTCTCCTGCTCTGGAGGGTAGGACTCCATTCAATGGCTTTGAGTTACAAGGAGATTCTGACAACACATCAGGAATAACTTTCTGACAGCAAGAGCTGTTCAACAGTGGAACAGACTCCCTCAGAAGGTGGTGGTTTCTCCTTCCTTGGAGGTTTTTAAGCTGAGGTTGAATGACCATCTACCACGAATGCTTTAGTTGAGATTCTTTCATTGCAGGGGATTGGATTAGAGCATGGGTAGGCAAACTAACAGGGACGCGGGTGGCGCTGTGGGTAAAAGCCTCAGCGCCTAGGGCTTGCCGATCGAAAGGTCGGTGGTTCGAATCCCCGCGGCGGGGTGCGCTCCCGTTGCTCGGTCCCAGCGCCTGCCAACCTAGCAGTTCGAAAGCAGCCCCGGGTGCAAGTAGATAAATAGGGACCGCTTTCTAGCGGGAAGGTAAACGGTGTTTCCGTGTGCTGCGCTGGCTCGCCAGAGCAGCTTTGTCACGCTGGCCACGTGACCCGGAAGTGTCTCCGGACAGCGCTGGCCCCCGGCCTCTTGAGTGAGATGGGCGCACAACCCCAGAGTCTGGCAAGACTGGCCCGTACGGGCAGGGGTACCTTTACCTTTACTTTTTAGGCAAACTAAGGCCCGGGGACCGGATCCGGCCCAATCGCCTTCTAAATCCAGCCCACAGGCGGTCCGAGAATCAGCGTGTTTTTACCTGAGTAGAATGTGTCCCTTTATTTAAAATGCATCTCTGGGTTATTTGTGGGTCCTGCCTGGTGTTTTGTCATGAGTAGAATGTGTGCTTTTATTTAAAATGCATCTCTGGGTTATTTGTGGGGCATAGGAATTCATTCATTTCCCCCCTTCAAAATATAGTCCGGCCCCCCACAAGGTCTGAGGGACAGTAGACTGGCCCCCTGCTGAAAAAGTTTGCTGACCCCTGGACTAGAGGATCCTTGCTGATGGAGCCATGCCATTTTGGAGCCATGACAAACACCACTTTTGAGTAACATAATTCAGACTTCTCTGTTTATTCAGAGGAAGGGTAATGGACAAACGTTGCCTAAGCAAGCTTCAAGTCAGACTTGATTTAACTGTTAATTAACCCTGGCGGCAGAGTGGTTTGACTGGTCGGAGCATTTTGTCACAAACTGATTGCCGTCTCCTGCCAGAGAACATTTCCTAAGAGTTAAAACGACAGACATAGGTTAACACATCATTTTGATGTCCCAACGAAACAAAAGTTCTTAAGAGGTTTACATCATACCAATTAAGAACTAAAAGCAGTCATTATTTTGGGTTTACTTATAAAGCCCGTGACCCACTTACACGGGCTTTGGGATCTACCTGCGGGTTGCGATCCCCAGGTTGAAAAGACTGCTGTATATGAGAGGATCCCTCAGAACTATGTGTTCAGTTTCTGTACCATCATGCTGCTTTTTTTTTGCCTCTGGAAAGAAGGTTATAAAAGGTAAAGGGACCCCCGACCATTAGGTCCAGTCGTGGCCAACTCTGGGGTTGCGGCGCTCATCTCGCTTTATTGGCCGAGGGAGCCGGTGTACATCTTCCGGGTCATGTGGCCAGCATGATTAAGCTGCTTGTGGCGAACCAGAGCAGCGTACGGAAACGCCGTTTACCTTCCCGCCGGAGCGGTACCTATTTATCTACTTGCATTTTGATGTGCTTTCGAACTGCTAGGTTGGCAGGAGCTGGGACTGAGCAACGGGAGCTCACCCTGTTGCAGGGATTCGAACCACCGACCTTCTGATCGGCAAGTCCTAGGCTCTGTGGTTTAACCCACAGCGCCACCCGCGTCCCTGTAGTGCAGTGTTTTTCAACCACTGTTCCGCGGCACACTAGTGTGCCGCGAGCTGTTGCCTGGTGTGCCGTGGGAAAAATTGAAAAATTCGAAAGATTTAAAAATAAAGTATTTTATAATTTTTCATATTTCTGTTTACTTACTATTTCATAATAAAGTAATTATAAAATACTTTCTTTGTGTTTATTTGATTCCTATTCAAGAGAATTACTGTATATATAGTCAATATAGGCACAGAGTTAAATTTTTTAACATTTTCTAATGGTGGTGTGCCTCGTGATTTTTTTCATGAAACAAGTGTGCCTTTGCCCAAAAAAGGTTGAAAAACACTGCTGTAGTGGGACAAAATAAATGCGCGTGACACTGTGGGAAGTGGCTTTTCTTTCAAGCTACTTTCTCTTCCCTTTAAAACCTATTCTGTCTCTAGCCAGAAAGAGCATATGATGACTGGTTTGGCTGCTGTGTATAGCAAACATTTTGAATGTCGACACCTCAAGAGCTACTTCTTCTCTGTGCAAAGGTCATTTTCAGCCTTCCTTGCCCAACCACTACTGCTTTCCTTCAGAGCAGCAATTTAAATTGGTTTTTGAATTTATCTGCTGTTTTGAATTGCGACCTTTGCCGGATACGTTTTGTATTTTTAATCTGGTTTTGTATTATGCTGATTTTTGTAAACAAAGATGGGGGTGGGGTATAAATGGATAGTAAAATAACATTACTCCTTCCCTCGGCTTCTTACCTAATACAGGAACCTATGACTGAGAGTATAAACTACTAAGCTTATGCTAAATGTCATTCTCTGATATTAATTCTGTAATGGAATTAAAAATTTGGTACTAAAGAAAAATATTTGAACATGAGTGGACCCACGCCTATAGATTTGGAAGCAAAATGGCGCCGCCCTAAAATAAAGTCATTTTGGGGAGGGGAGGATTCCTAGTACCTCGGTTGTCGAACGCTTTGGAAGTCGAACGTTTTGGTTTTCGAATGCTGAAAACCCGGAATCTGCAAACTAGTTTCCTGCTTTATAAGGGAAATGTGCTCTGCTACTTGACTCACTAGCGTGAGGGAGGAAGGATAATATTTAATCAAGATATCCTTTCCTATTATCCATAACATTCCCACAAAAACATTTCCCACAAAAACAACCCAGTATCATTCCAAATCAATATGCATCTATCTCCTTTCCCCTTCCCCCAAGTTTTGCAGTCCAAACCTCTGTACAAAAGGGGAATTTATCTGTGGGTCATACTGACGCAAGGTTAGTACAGTGCCCTGCAATTTCCTCCAGGTCAGTAGCAGTGTGTCTTAGAGCAGTGTTTCCCAACCTTGGGCCTCCAGCTGTTTTTGAGCTACAATTCCCATCATCCCTGACCACTGGTCTTGCTAGCTAGGGATGATGGGAGTTGTAGTCCAAAAACAACTGGAGGCCCAAGGTTGGGAAACACTGTCTTAGAGGACTGAAATGTTCTTCTGCTGGTTTTTGAATGCTGTTGGATTTAATGCCTGGAGAGTTAGGGGGCCTATCGGTGCAACACTAACCCTAAACTCTTCTGTCTCCCCTTCCCCTCTTTTCCCTCACAGTGGAGTCCCAGGTTGTCTGGCTTCTCGCTGCGGCTTTGCGTACACCTGGCCAACACTGTGAGTATACAGCCATTCCAATCTGATTAGTCTCTGTCCTTTTTAAAAGTATCCTGTGCATATCTAGAACTCCTATCCTTGTTCTCAGTGAAGCCAGACCCTCCCAAGATGGAGCAGTGATAATGAAGGAACTTGAGCAGCCTAGAATGGCCCAACCATGCTTTGTATTTTGAGCACGGCTGCAGGAACTTGAGCTTCTTGGGTTTGGGCTCTGGTTGTTAAGCAATCATTGCACCTGTTTCCAGAATTCTGGTTTTCCATGCCTTCATGTGGGTAGCCAGGACAGCAACATAATACCTCCGGCACAAGAGGGGGAGGTAGTAGCAGGCTGGGGTGAATTTGAAGATTTGCGGAAGGACAAAAAACCACTAGCTGTTAAACCTTAATTGGGAGGGGAACCCACAAAAACCAGCCTGATAAGGACTCAGCAGCGCAGAATGCTGAGCGGCAAAGTGGCGTGCGGGATGGGAAAACTGGGAGGCGATGCTGCATTTTGTTGTGGCTCACACTTGTACTAGGAAAGTGAAAGGAGAACAGGAGATGGCAGTCAAAAGGAGATGTACTTTCAGTTACTGCTTAGCAGTAGTTCCTTTGACTTTCATGGGGGGGAAATACTACACTGAAACATTTTATGGTTTCAGGGCATGTGACTGACTTAGAGAGACCAAGCAATCTAGCTCAGTCTGGGTTTGATGTGCAGAACTGTAAGGACTGCGTCGTCTTCTGCTAGTCTCAGTTATTTACACTTAACTTCAAAATATAAGGGAAGGAGTGGTCCTGTGCTTTCTTTTGCTTTTGCTTTTGCCATGTGATCTAAATTCAGGGTGTGGTTGTGCTCAGTGTTTCTGGTTCCCTGCAAACTGCATGCCTTTGAGACAACAACAACAACAACAACATTTTTTTATAATGATAAAATTTTATTTCTATCGCACCCTCCCCAGCCTACATGGGACCCCCTTTTCCTAGCTGAAGGGGTCTCCTGAAGGAAGTCCTTCAGCTGCTGCCAGGGCTGTTCTGCAAGGCACTTCAATGTTCTGGAGAAGTAATCAGAACACATTTTTTGGTGTGGGGCTAAAGCATCCAACTTGCTATGGTTCCTTGATGAAACTCCATCCCTGAAGCTAGGCAAGTTCAGACTGGCCAGCAGTTGGATGAGAGTCTGCTTGAGAACCCGAGGGATGATGCTGAGAGCTCTTTGGAGGGAAAGTTGAATTCCGAAACAATGCCTTGCAGTTGGACTAGACCAGGGGTCTGCAACCTTTAAGACAAAAAGAGCCACTTGGACCCGTTTCCGAAGGAAAAAAAACTGGGAGCCGCAAAACCTTTGCGACATTTAAAACAAATATATCTCCGGAGCTGCGATCTGACAGCGGGCGGGAAGGTGACGTCGGGACGGTGCATGACTAACGCACACACCGCCCCCATGCGACGTCACAGCCAGTACAACGCCCGCCACAGTGGGGAGTGTTGGGGCGCACAATGCGCCTCCCCCCCCCCGCTAGTATCCGCCCCGGAGCCGCGGCAAAGGTGTAAAAGAGCCACATGCGGCTCCGGAGCCGCGGGTTGCAGACCCCTGGACTAGACTGTAGGAGAACCTTGCCGACCACTGGGATAGCCGCTTCATTTCTGTACGTTGGTGATGAAGCTCATATACTTGTTTTGATCAGATAAAGCTTACACAGTTGCCCACAGCACTGCAAAAGTTCCTGTCTGTAGGCAAAAAATGTGTGGGCTCCCTGAGTGCATATATTTTTAGGACAGGCAAGCCATCAAAACTGGATTGCGACTAATTGTAATTGTACCGTTGAACACAATAGAATGAGATTCGTCTAAACCAGATTTGGCACACAAAATGTGTGTTCCACTTACTACTCCTGTGGGTGGAGGACTGTTTCTCTGCCTCTCCATCACTGCTCCTGCGATGAGACACACCTGGGCTCCTGGTCACATTCTTTTTTAATGGCTTTTCTACACTTCACAAACTGTTCGAGAAACAGTGGAGGGGGCCTTATCATTGAGGCAAGGCCTGACCAGTCAATATCGTGCAAATCTGGCTCCTGCTGAAAGAATGAGTTTCTGCTGAATATAATGCCGGAGAAGAGATGAGCCATATGCCCAAAATGTTTTGAACGTGCAGCAGGTTTGCCCCTGAAATTATGTGTATATTTAAGCAGCTCAAGAGAATTGACAGCAAATCTACTAGAACTGCAATTATTTTATTTGTTTTTATACCCACTTATAGGCTTTCGGACAGCATTTTTTAGTTCCACTTCTAATGCGGTGAGTATTTTTTTATTTTAGAGTTCAAATTGGGGAGCAGATCTGTGTTGCTGGAAGAAGTGGATTGCATTCAACATAGCACCAAGGAGACTATTCTGTCAGCGCAAGGATTTCTCTTTGTGCAATGGAATGCTCTCCCCTTCTTCTCCCTATGCACCCTAATACAGTCATACCTCGGGTTAAAGTTGCTTCAGGTTGAGCGTTTCCGGGTTGCGCTCTGCCGTGACCCGAAAGTAATGGAATGTGTTACTTCCGGGTTTCGCCGCTCGCGCATGCACAGACGCTCAAAATGACGTCACACGCATGCGCAGAAGCGGCGAATCACAACCCACGCACGTGCAGATGTACAGATGTGGGTTGCGTTCTCTTCAGGATGCGAACAGGGCTCTGGAACAGATCCCATTCACATCCAGAGGTACCACTGTATCTGCAAGGAAGGGGATCATCAACTCACCAGAGCAGATTTAGGGACAGCGCAGTGCACATGTCAGGGAAAGAGAGGGTGGAAATTTGTTGTTGTTTAGTTATGTCCGACTCTTCATGACCCCACGGACCAGAGCATGCCAGGCACTCCTGTCTTCCACTGCCTCCCACAGTTTGGTCAAACTCAAGTTAGCAGTTTTGAGAACACTGTCCAACCATTTCGTCCTCTGTCGTCCCCTTCTCCTTGCGCCCTCCATCTTTCCCAACATCAGGGTCTTTTCCAGGGAGTCTTCTCTTCTCATGAGGTGGCCAAAGTATTGGAGCCTCAGCTTCACGATCTGTCCTTCCAGTGAGTACTCAGGGCTGATTTCCTTAAGAATGGATAGGTTTGATCTTCTTGCAGTCCATGGGACTCTCAAGAGTCTCCTCCAGCACCAGAATTCAAAAGCCTCAACCATACATCACTACTGGGAAAACCATAGCTTTAACTATACGGACCTTTGTCAGCAAGGTGATGTCTCTGCTTTTTAAGATGCTGTCTGGGTTTGTCATTGCTTTTCTCCCAAGAAGCAGGCATCTTTTAATTTCATGACTGCTGTCGCCATCTGCAGTGCTCATGGAACCCAAGAAAGTAAAATCTCTCACTGCCTCCATTTCTTCCCCTTCTATTTGCCAGGAGGTGATGGGACCAGTGGCCATGATCTTAGTTTTTTTTTGATGTTGAGCTTCAGACCATATTTTGCATTCTCCTCTTTCATCCTTATTAAAAGGTTCTTTAATTCCTCCTCACTTAATGTAATTTATTAAAAGGTAAAGGGACCCCTGACCATTAGGTCCAGTTGTGACCGACTCGGGGGTTGCGGCGCTCATCTCGCTTTACTGGCCGAGGGAGCCGGCGTACAGCTTCCAGGTCATGTGGCCAGCAGGACTGTTTCCTATTTTGACACCTTGCTTGCCTTAATACACATTCTGTATCAAGCATGGTGCGCTTGGTAATGCCTGACACAAGCTATTGGCATCTTGAAGGGGCGGGTCTGAACAGAAGCAGCACAGTATAGGCATAGTGCAGAAGATGAGTGGCACCTTGACACTTCTGGGTGGTAATACTAGCATTTGAAACAGATGGTCTAAAATTCTTAAGACGCCAACTCCTCTATCTTGCATGCATACTGAGCACTACCAGCTTTTTGCAACGGCATCATGATGCATTTATACACCATAAAGTTGCGTTTTGGGGTATATCTATGTGGTTGGTTTGGTTAAACAGTCCAGAATTCACAGAAAACTCCCATGTCCCACTGCAGGGAATACATCGGACAATTTTAGCTGTGCAGCCATGCAAAACTAACTGTGCGTCTTGTGTTTCCCAATTAACTTTTAATCAATTGGCATTACAGTGGTACCTCAGGTTACATACACTTCAGGTTACATACACTTCAGGTTACAGACTCCGCTAACCCAGAAATATTACCTCAGGTTAAGTACTTTGCTTCAGGATGAGAACAGAAATTGTGCTCTGGCGGCACGGCAGCAGCAGGAGGCCCCATTAGCTAAAGTGGTGCTTCAGCTTAAGAATAGTTTCAGGTTAAGTTCGGACCTCCGGAACGAATTAAGTACTTAACCTGAGGTACCATTGTAATGGTACTCAATGGGGTCCACTTCAACAAGATACTGGGTACAAGGGGTGAGATTCAACTAAGCTTTACTCACGGCAGACCCATCGAAATTAACAGACCTAACTTAGCCATTTTCATTTATTTCACTTGGTCTGAATAGCAACTTCGGCTCGCTTATCACATGTGATCACAACCTTATTTGGGTGGGTGGGGAGAAATAAATAAATGGAGAGTTTGGGAAACCAGATGTTTCCTTCTCTCCGTTACTTGGCATTATAACAACGATCTGGCACAAGGTTTGTGGCCATATGCTCTCCCCATCCTCTGGGTGCAAAGGAAGGAGATATGAAACTTCCAACCACAGTTGCCTGGTTTACCCAAACGTGGGAAACTGTTGTTTGGTTGAAACCATGATTGGAAGCGTTTCCTCTTGTGGATGAAGAAGTGTGTCAGGAAAGAAGGCATTGCGGCACATGGTGGTTTCTGTGCTTCAGAGGATCCTCTGAAGGTAGCCTGGATGTTGGAGGTGTGGGAAAGCGATTTAACTTGTGACTTACAATCTGTGGATGCAATGAGACATCCTTCTGAGTCTTGGTACCCTCCTGATCTCTTTTTTCAAATAATAATAAAAAAGGTGTTTCTTGACAGTCATGGAACTACTGGTGTACAAATTGGTCCTCTCCGATAAAATCTGTTTGCCAAGATGGTTTTTATTGGCAGGATCTGCAAGACCTTCTTTGTAGCATCTTGTTGAAGGAAAACTATGGGTGACAGAAAGAACGAGTGCAGTTCTGAATTAAAATGTTTCCACGATCCCTTCCCGTTTCAAGCTCCCATTTCACACACTTATTTGCAGGGTCAACAACTTTACCGCCCTGCGCTTCCTTGATCTTGCCGAAGACCCTACGTTTGTGCCGGCAGTCATTGAGGAAGAGAAAAACAACCATCCAGAGTCTGAAAATGTCTTTGAAATTCTCCCCAAACTGATGGAAGTAAGGCAAGTACAGAAATGGAAAGAGGTGGGAGATCTGGGGTGCTGGGAACGGGTGGAAACGAGCTGCATTTGGACACTAGATAGCTCAGGGGAAATCATTTGTTGGGAAAGTGGAAGAGGCATTTAGCATACTGCCCTCAAAAGTTTCCCGCCTGCGTTTCCATGCTGGTGATGGAAGGAACAAGCCGCCGAAGACCTCTTCCATACGACCAACACGGAACAGGCTGTTACAACATTTTAGCCGGCCAACAAAAATATTTGCTTCTACAAAGCGGATGTGGAACGTTGATCCACCACTTCTGAGATATACTCGGAGTCGAGTGTGGATTTCATGCTCTTTATTCAGCTCATAGTAGTGAGGAATTGGAAGTTCCCCCAAAATGTCTGCTTTATATACATTATTTACACAATGGGCCCCACATGATTGGCTAATTCTGGGATTCTCCTGTAGGCCAATCAGGTTGCAGATTCACTCCCACCTGGAGTTGGATTGGGTGGCTCCTGCGGACCAATCAGGTTGCGGATTCACTCCCACCTGGAGTTGGATTGGGTGGCTCCTGCGGACCAATCAGGTTGCGGATTCACTCCCACCTGGAGTTGGATTGGGTGGCTCCTGCGGACCAATCAGACTGCTGCATTCTGGATCCTATTGTTCTAGGACCAATCAGACTGTTGCATTCTGGATCCTATTGTTCTAGGACCAATCAGACTGCTGCATTCTGAATCCTATTGTTCTAGGACCAACCAGACTGCTGCATTTTGGATCCTATTCAACTTAGCACATAACAACTTCCCTGCCAATCCACTCAGTCATCTGTGTGGAATTCTTGGTCGCCTATGATTACTAGGCAAGTGGTTGAATATGCAGCTGCTTCTATTGAAAACAGATGTTTAGGTAAGAAGGGCAGGCATATTTATCATATTGGCTAATGTTCTTTATGTATAAGGAAAATATAGGCGTGTATGATGCTGTTTGTGACTTACTGAATCCTTCCGGAATGGGTGAGGGAATCTTCTTCCTGTCAAGTGCCATGTTCCCTTGGAGGGCAATTTTGGTGGTGGGACCAGAGCTCAGAGTGTCACTTACCGTATTTTTCTGTGTATAACACGCCCCCGTGTATAAGACACCCCCTATTTTGGGGGACTCAAATTTAAGAAAATGGGGGGAGATTGCCCCCGTGTATAAGACTACCCCCCATTTTAAACATTTTTTTTAGTAAAAAACCCTAGTCTTATACACGGAAAAGTACAGTATTTCCCCCTCTTTCTCCCCCCCCCCCTTCTTCCTCGCAAGGTCTCAGGTGTGCTAAGCAGAGTATTTTCTTTGTAATATTAATAAAAAGAAGAAGTGTACGCCACCCATCTGACTGGGTTGCCCCAGTCACTCTGGGCGGCTTCTAGCAAAATACACTGGTACCTCGCAAGATGAATGCCTCGCAAGACGGAAAACTCGCAAGACGAAAGGGTTTTTGGTTTTTTGAGTTGCTTCGCAAGACGATTTTCCCTATGGGCTTGCTTCGCAAGATGGAAACGTCTTGCAAGTTTGTTTCCTTTTTCTTAAAACCGTTAATACAGTTGCGACTTGACTTCGAGGAGCAACTCATAGCACACGGTGTGGTAGCCTTTTTTGAGGTTTTTGAAGACTTTGGTGATTTTTGAAGCTTTTCCAAAACTTTTCCGAAACCGTGCTTCGCAAGACGAAAAAATCGCAAGACGAAAAAACTCGCGGAACGAATTAATTTCGTCTTGCGAGGCACCACTGTATACAAACACAATAAAACGTCAAACATTAAAAACTTCCCTCTACATGTGAATTTGGGGCATCTGCCAGCAACATGCAGTTGCTTCCACAAGGTCCTAACAGGCAGCAGAAAGCGAAGCGTTATTGGTCATCGGCACAAGTTGTTCAGCTGTGGGTGATGAGAAATGAGTGCTGGCTCCACGATGGCTTGATCACCAATCTCTCGCTCTCAGGCGACCGGCGTCGTTCTCTTTTGGTCTTTACCTTTCCTTTCTTTACAGTTCACGTTCTGCTCGCTCTATGTTCAACTTCAAAGAGATCCAGGATTATTTGAAATGCTACCGGTAAGTGACTGCAGGTACGCAGCAAAACTGTCACGGGGCTCCCTCCTCCTTTGTTTGACAGAAGCAGAACTTTGTAGCCTCCCCAGAAACAGAAACGGGCTCCCAAAGGGTGGAATCGAGGCGTCCAGCTCTTTGTAGACCCAGGGATCGATACCTACATGGAGGCAGCGTGGTGTAGTGGTTAGAGTGTTGGACTAGCACTTGGGAGACCAGGGTTCAAGCCCTTCTCAGCCATGAAGCTCACTGGGTGATTTTTGGGCCAGTCACATTCACTCAGCCTAACCTCCCTCTCAAGGCTGTTTGTGAGGATGAAAAGCACGCCTTGGAGGAAAGGTGGGATAGAAGCATAACGAATAATAGAGACTCTGCCATTTAGAGCTGGATTTGGGTACAGCTTCCCATGGCCCCAGCCTGACTGTGGCGAAGTGTGCAGGCTTACAAGGAGACTGTTCTCTGTTTCCTAGATCCGGTGAGGTTACACCACTTCAGGTCGCCAAGAACATTATTGCCACATTGGAAGATGACGAGAGGTCCAGTCTCCCCCTCCAAGCAATTGTTCAGTGGGACCGCAAAGAGATCCTCAAAGTAGGTTGGCCAAAGCTGTGCTACTTTACTTAAAAAGCTCATCTAAACATTACGTGAGTGGCGCTGTGGGTTAAACCACAGAGCCTAGAACTTGCCGATCAGAAGGTTGGCGGTTCGAATCCCCGCGACGGGGTGAGCTCCCGTTGCTCGGTCCCTACTCCTGCCAACCTAGCAGTTCGAAAGCACATCAAAGTGCAAGTAGATAAAAAGGTACCGCTCCAGCGGGAAGGTAAAGGGTGTTTCCGTGCGCTGCTCTGGTTCGCCAGAAGTGTCTTAGTCATGCTGGCCACATGACCCGGAAGCTGTACGCCGGCTCCCTTGGCCAATAAAGCGAGATGAGCGCCGCAGCCCCGGAGTTGGTCACGACTGGACCTAATGGTCAGGGGTCCCTTTACCTTTACCTTTACCTAAACATTACAGCAGTGGTTCGTTCCCCAAGGCTGTGGTTTACCACACTTGTGTGGCATAAGAGGATAGCAAGTGTGGAGGGAAGGTTCAAGGACAATCAAAGAGATATTTCAGTGTAATTTAGTATAAGATCAACATAATTTCTTTATAAAAGATTAGTTTCAGCCAAAGGCGACCCTGGGGTTGCGGCGCTCATCTAGCTTTCAGGCCGAGGGAGCTGGCGTTTGTCCACAGACAGCTTTCCGGGTCATGTGGCCAGCATGACTAAACTGCTTCTGGCACAACGGGACACAGTGGCGAGTGCCAGAGCGCACAGAAGTACCATTTACCTTCCCGCCGGAGTGGTACCTATTTATCTACTTGCACTTTGATGTGCTTTCGAACTGCTAGGTTGGCAGGAGCTGGGACAGAGCAACGGGAGCTCACCCCGTCATGGGGATTCGAACTGCTGAACTTCCGATCGGCAAGCCCAAGAGGCTCAGTGGTTTAGATCACAGCGCCACCCGCGTCCCTACACACACACACACACACACACACACACACACACAGCATCCACGTTATAGCAACATAGGTAGGCAACTTAGGCTCGGGGGGCGGATGCAGCCCAGTTGCCTTCTCAATCCGGCCTGCGGACGGTCCGGGAATCAGCGTGTTTTTACATGACTAGAATGTGCCCTTTTATCTAAAATGCATCTCTGGGTTATTTGTGGGGCATAGGAATTCATTCATTTCCCCCCCTTCAAAATATAGTCTGGCCCCCACAAGGTCTGAGGGACAATGGACCGGCCCCCTGCTGAAAAGGTTTGCTGACCCCAATATAGCAGCTGGATGGAGCATGGTGTTGATAATGCCACGGTTGCAGGTTTGATCCCCATATGGGACACCTGCATATTCCTGCATTGCAGGGGGTTGGACTAGATGATCCTCAGGGTCCCTTCCAATTCTACGCTTCTTTGCTTCTGTGCCTCTCTTTGAGAGCCTCGGCTATTTTTCTACAGTTCTCCACAACATGTTGTTGTGAGCAGGGATTTTATGGGAGATCAGAAAAGAGAAAGGCTTCTTTGTGGGGATGAGATGCGTTTGTTTCTCTCAAGTGAGACGTCGTATAAATGAGATGACCCAGCAAAAGCAAGCTCCACACCTCTCCTTTAGTTTGTATACCTACTTAAGTTACATATGTAAGAGGCCTGTTTATCATTATATTTGGGGAAGGATTCATATTCTTCTGTAGCTGCATTGTTTTGTACTTTTATGATCATATTATAAAGTACAGTGGTACCTCGCAAGACGAGTGCCTCGCAAGACAAAAAACTCGCAAGACGAAAGGGTTTTTGGTTTTTTGAGCTGCTTCGCAAGACGATTTTCCCTATGGGCTTGCTTCGCAAGACGGAAACGTCTTGCAAGTTTGTTTCCTTTTTCTTAACACCGTTAATACAGTTGCGACTTGACTTCGAGGAGCAACTCATAGAACGCGGTGTGGTAGCCTTTTTTGAGGTTTTTGAAGACTTTGGTGATTTTTGAAGCTTTTCCAAAACTTTCCCAACACCGTGCTTCGCAAGACGAAAAAAATCGCAAGTCGACAAAACTCGCGGAACGAATTGATTTCGTCTTGCGAGGCACCACTGTAGTTGTGTTCTGTGTTATAAATCAAGCTTGTTCCTTTCTGCTTTCCAATGTATTTTGTATCGGGGGGTTGGGGGGCGGTCAGTGCAGTGCGAGCAAATTTTTCTTCTGAAAGTGTGGCCCAGAGGAAAGAAGTTTGAGAACCACTTCATTCATTACAGCTTTTGGCCAGAGGGGAAGGAGGGTCTGATTATTCCCTGTTCAGGGAAGTTTTTAGTGTGTGACATTTAATGTATTTTTAATCTTTGTTGGAAGCCTCCCAGAGTGGCTGGGGAATATTATTTAAATTATTTAAATAATAAATATTATTTAAATTATTTAAATTACTTAAATTATTATTATTATTGTTGTTATTATTATTATTATTATTATTATTATTATTATTATTATTAATGCTGAAGCCTTTGAATCAGACTTCAGGTTGGGACTGCTTCGGTCTGCCACTTGTTCCTATCTCTCTTCCTGCTCAGCAATTATATTAATGAATGCTACACGACTTTATAAATCTCTTCCTGCTCAGATGGCGGAGGACTCCACCACTCGCTATCAAAGCAAGCAGACCCTCTCTCTTTTGGACGGGATCCCAGTGTGCCTGAAGGAGGAGATTAAAGTGGTAAGTGTTGAATGGTTTCTTTAAATGTAAAGGTTCATCATGGTTCCACTCCATGTGTATGTCTTTAAGGAGCCAGAGCAAGGGCCAGAGCAAGATAACGAGACCCAGCTTTACAGCTGTGAAACATAGCAGGTGCTGCTGAGTTGTATTTGATTAAGGTGTGTCATCATTTGGTTGTAGTATATAAGGAGCAGCACCTAGCTCTCCCATTACCCTGGGGGATGGGTTGGTGGTTGGGTCATGTTTGTTGGTTAATATATTTAGTGTAAATGGAGTTTTTGTTTTTCTTATTAAAACCTTCTTTAAGTACTTTTTGAGTCCCTTTTTAATGCATGGTCTCCCCAGCAAGCTCTCTGCAGCGTTACTATACTGCAAAAAGCCAATTACTGTGGTAAGCACAGTCCGCTTAGTTGCCTTTGCTGAATAAGGCCAGTTTTAAGAAAGAGGGTGGGGCTGGTCTGCCTGGATTATCGCTGCTGGGTTTGGGATTGATCTGAGGAATCCTACTCGGACTGCCACAGGGGGAAGAAAGGGGCAGCTTGACTGCGCTCACCAGGAATCACAGCATACAGTGGTACCTCGGGTTACATTCGCTTCAGGTTACATATGCTTCAGGTTACAGACTCTGCCAGGGACGCGGACTTAGAAAAAATATTGGGGGGGCCCGGGAAAGCTCATGAATAATAAATAAGCTCATGAATATGCAAATAAAGTGGCTCCGGCCCTAAATAGGGCAAGCCACGCCCCCCCAGCCAGCCGATTGGCTGGCTGGGAGGTGTGGCCAGTCGGGATTCCCCTGTTCTCGCGGGATTTCCGGCAGTGCCTCCGATTAGGGCGCGCGGCTGGCTGGCTGGCGAAGGAGCAGGTGAGGAGGAGGCGGGGGACGGCGGCGGCGCTCTGCTGGAAGGGCGCCCGCCCGAGATTATTGGGGGGGCTGAGCCCCCCCAAAAATTTTTTTGAGGGGGCTCGAGCCCCCTCAAGCCCCATGGAGTCGGCGCCTATGGACTCTGCTAACCCAGAAATAGTGCTTCAGGTTAAGAATTTTGCTTCAGGATGAGAACAGAAATCATGCTCCGGCGGTGCAACAGCAGGAGGAGGCCCCATTAGCTAAAGTGGTGCTTCAGGTTAAGAACAGTTTCAGGTTAAGTACGGACCTCCGGAACGAATTAAGTACTTAACCCGAGGTACCACTGTATTGCAGCTTGTGTGTTTGTTTAATGAGAGTCTTGTGACACCTTAAAGACCTAAGACGTTTATTATGAAATAGGCTTCCTCGGATCACAGTCCGCTTCATCAAATACAATGAAATGTAATCCTAAACTGGCGAGCGTATGCAAAGAACCAGCAGCGGAACATGAAACTCTTAATAACTTTTAATTTATTTTTTTTATACTTTTCAAGTTTATACATTTCACTAATTTTACAATCATTTTGACCTTTTAAAACTTAACTTGGCTTCTCCTTCTTTCTGCGGTTCCTTAAATTTATATTTGATATTTTCTGCATATCCAAATTCACTTAAGTTGCTCATTTATTCACCTACTTTAAATATATACTCTTATAAAACTGCAGGTTATTACAATAACCCCGCCAATGTTCTTATCTGTTTACAATTTATCTGTAAATATCCAATAAACCATTTCCATTCTTTTATAAAGAGTTTGTTATCTTGGTTTCTTATTCTTCTGGTAAGTTTTGCCATTTCTGCATATTCCATAAATTTTTGTATCCATTCTTCCTTTGCTGGGACCTCTGCTTCTTTCCATTTTTGGATGAGTAATATTCTTGCCGCTGTAGTAACTTACATGAATAAGTTTCTATACATTTTTAGGTAGTTCTGTCCCTATAATTCCCAAGAGAAAAGCTTATGGGTTGTTTTTTTTACAAAGGTTATTTTAAACATCCTTTTCATTTCATTATATATCATTGAAATGAAATGAGACTCTTAATCTCAGGGGTGTGGGTTAGAGCTTCACGTTGGGCAAATGATAACTCTACAATTCTGTGATTCTTTTTATATATATATATATATATATATATATATATATATATATTTGCTTTCGTAGATTTTCACGGGTACAGGAATGCAGGTTTTGGTGTCCTCGGGTGTCTTCCCGTGTAAAAGTTGGGGGTGTCTAGGCGACGTTTCGACGAGGTCTCACTCGTCATCTTCAGGCTGGTGCTTTCGGCATACCAATTATTATACATTCCACAGAACTTCACATCTTATACAGTCTTTTTGGACTTCCATCAGCACCTCTGATGATCCACCATTTTTATCATTTCTTCTGCATTTCTTAAATTCCTATTGCCTTTAATTATCTTAACTCGCAATCCACCTCTTTAACCATTTTTGCAATAATTCAAATAATTTACCTCACAAAACTTCTTGCAAACCTACAAACATAATCTGGTCATCACAATTACTTTTCAAATAGTCCGTAAATTTACACCAGTCTTCTGTGAATCTCTGATCCCGCAGGTTTCGAATTCTTCCGGTTAGTTTATCCAATTCTGCATAGTCCATCCATTTCATCCTCCATTCTTCTTTTGTCGGTAATTCTTCTTGCTTCCATTTTTGTGCCAATAATATTCATGCTGTCGTCATTGAACTACAATTCTGTGATTCTATGGGGAAAAAACCCTTGATTACCTGCATTTTTTTAGGTGCCCTATCATCACCGAAGTGGAACGCAATACCTGGGCATGGAGCCAGAAACCGAAGATGCCACTGCGACCCAAAAACTGCGAGAGGCTGGGGCCATTATTATCGGTGTCTCAAACATGCACGAATTGGGTATTGGAACCACTGGTTGTAACCCCAACAGGTAAAGTAGCTCACATTCATTAAACGGGGGCTTGTTGCTAACACTGAATGGAGCTTTCTCTTTAAAACATGAGTGGAATAAGAAAGGTAATAAATGTGGAGCAAAGCATTATACAGTGGTACCTCAGGTTAAGTACTTAATTCGTTCCGGAGGTCTGTTCTTAACCTGAAACTGTTCTTAACCTGAAGCACCACTTTAGCTAATGGGGCCTCCCGCTGCCGCCGTGCTGCCACTGGATGATTTCTGTTCTCATCCTGAAGCAAAGTTCTTAACCTGAGGTACTATTTCTGGGTTAGCGGAGTCTGTAACTGAGGCATATGTAACCTGAAGCGTATGTAAGCCGAGGTACCACTGTATTGGAATGCTCAAGTTAAAAGGTTGGTGAATAATTTTGGTCAAAAGGGACCAGACAAAGTCTGAATTGCGATTATGTTTAGAACCACTAGCTACCGCTGTCAGCAGTAAAACTCACTTTAAAGGAAGAGACGTGAAAAAGGAAGAGTTTAAAGTATCGTATTTTTCGCTCTATAAGACGCACCAGACCACAAGACGCACCTAGTTTTTGGAGGAGGAAAACAAGAAAAAAATATTCTGAATCCCAGAAGCCAGAACAGCAAGAGGGATCGCTGTGCAGTGAAAGCAGCAATCCCTCTTGCTGTTCTGGCTTCTGGGATAGCTGCGCAGCCTGCATTCGCTCCATAAGACGCACACACATTTCCCCTTACTTTTTAGGAGGGAAAAAGCGAGTCTTATAGAGCAAAAAATACGGTAAGTCTTTATGGTATTAACACTGAATTGTGTGGTTCCTTAAATGATAGTATGTGTGGTGTTGTTGTTGTTCTGAATTAAATTTGTATACCACCCTATACCTGCAGGTCTCTGGGCGGTTCACAGGGTAAAATCGCAATATAAAAACAAAATGTATAATAAAAATAAAAGCAAGAATGACCCAATAACCCCGCTTCCCACTAAAGAGAAAATAGAAGGTATTGAAATTTGAGGAGACTGCCTTTTACCATTTGCACGGTCTCTGCCCAGTGCACCCACTGCTGAGGTCTCGGTGGCTCTGTGAGGCTAGGCCAGTGGTTCCCAACATTTTTGGCCATGCCCTACCTATGCAGGCTGTGCAGCTTTTGCTGAAGCTAGGAGAGCAAGAGGGATTGGTGCACACCGATCCCTCTTGCTCTCCTGGCTTCAGGGATAGCCTCCCGAAGCCTCCTGAGCAGAGCGGGAGTGCTCTGTTTCTCCTCCCGCTTTGCTAGAGAGGCGCTGAGCAGAGAGGGAGAGAACATTTTTTTTCTTGTTCTCCTCCTCTAAAACTAGGTGCGTCTTATGGTCGGGTGCGTCTTATAGAGCGAAAAATACAGTACTTATTACAGTGGTACCTCAGGTTAAGTACTTAATTCGTTCCAGAGGTCTGTACTTAACCTGAAACTGTACTTAACCTGAAGCACCACTTTAGCTAATGGGGCCTCCTGCTGCCGCCGCACCGCCGGAGCCCGATTTCTGTTCTTATCCTGAAGCAAAGTTCTTAACCTGAAGCACTATTTCTGGGTTAGCGGAGTGTGTAACCTGAAGCGTATGCAATCTGAAGTGTATGTAACCTGAGGTACCACTGTACTCAAAAAATGAACTCCTATTCACTTGGAAGAAACCTAAAAGCCCATTAACTTGGTCTAACTCATTCTCGAATTGCCCCCTTTAAAAATCAAATTGCCCCCCTGTGGGGCGTGTGCCCCACATTGGGAACCATGGGGCTAGGTAGAGCATGGAGACTGGGTGCCACACCTCGTGGCCTCTGCCTTGAACCTCACCTGTGTGTCAGGATGTTGAGATCCTTCGCTTCCTCCCACGGTCTTGGCGGCACTGCCTTCAGAATCTTTCTCTGTCTCCCTCCAGATACCACGGTACGGCGAGGAACCCCTACAACCCCCAGCACTTCACTGGGGGCAGCTCTAGTGGGTCAGCAGCAGCCGTGGCTTCAGGTGAGGTTGTCCAATGAGTTGGGGAGGCGGGAAGAAGGAGAGCGGCAGTTCAACAGAGGCATCGATCGGTTCCCTTGTGCCCTTGGCAAGGAAATCTATCCCCTGTACACAGAGGTGTAGGAAGGTCAGGTGGTACCTGGAAAATTTCTTGTCACCCCCCCCCCCATTGATTTTTGTTTGCCTGCAAAAATGGTTTTACGTTATTTCATATTTTCTTACAAAGGAATGTGGATTCTGGGCGACTGTGGACAGATACTTAAATCTAAATGGGTTGTGTTTTGGCTCCACTGAATTGAAATTTTAGCCTTCACGACACGGCCAAATAAACAATTATATAATTAACCAAATTAAAATATACCTAATTACTATAAACTTCTTTGCTGTATACAAATACAACACAGTTAGAAATTTTATATGAAAGCTTTTATATTATAAATAATATTTCAAATTCCCCTATACCCCCCCATTCCTTCACCCATGTGTGATCTCATTTTTTTTTCTTCTTCTTCCGTCTTGTTGTGTTGTTATAATTTAATCATTGCGCAGCTGATTTTTTTATTGTTTGCTTGCTTACCCCTCATGTTTTACACGTTATCTATTAATATTCCAGTTCCGGAACCATATTTTTTCATATATTCCTTCACTCCCTCCCACTCTTTAATTATTCTCTGATTTGAATGGCCTCTAAGAGTTGCTGTCAATTTTGCCATTTCCATAAACTCACAGAGTTTACTTTGCCATTCTAATAACGATGGTATTTTCTCCCCCTTCCAGTTCTTAAAAAAAAAGTTTTTTATGAACCACCCTAGTAGGGCAGTAATCATTCCTTGATAATTTGTCACCCCCTCCATGATGGAACCCGGGGCAGAACGCCCCCCCCCTTCCTACGCCCCTGCCCATATACATACCACCACAATGGACCAGAAACTCAACAAGTTTGCTTTTCATAACCTTCTCACTCCATCAGTGATAGAGCTGGGCGATAGCTGGTTATTGCCAGCTAAATATCACAATATATCATGATATATCATGATATATATCGGCGGCAGCGGAGGGCATTGCTGGCCCTCCCCGCGGCGGCAGAGGGTCCCACCATACCTCCCTGCAGTGGCAGGTGTGCCACGCTTCCCTGCAGCAGCAGGGGCCTTCCCATGGAGGCAGAGGGTCCCGCCGTAACTCTCTGCAGCGGCGGGGTCCCTTCCAACTTTACATTCTATGATTCTGAGGAGATTGTGTGGGGGAATGCAGAACTAGATGGTTTCCCTGAACGGAAGGCTCGTAATTCTGCTTCTTTTTGTAGGCCTTTGCCCGTTGGCTCTTGGTACAGATGGGGGCGGCTCGGTGAGGATCCCTGCGTCTTTCTGTGGCATTGTGGGACTCAAAGGTAATCTTCTTCTTCTTTGGCGATCGCTCGTAACTGAGTAAGATTGCCTTCCATAAACACGGTTTTAACAGTGAGTCTGTAAGTGACTGTGGAGGCCAATTTTGGATCCACACGTCCTTCCACAGTGGGGACATAGGTTTCTGGGCAGGAGTTGATCACGGTGAGGGTTTGCCAAGCATGCCTTCCTCATAGCATGTTTCTCCCATTCGTCCTGAGTTCAAGTGTCTTCAAAGCCCATGACACCTTTGATAAAGGCTGCTCTCCAACTGGAGCGCTCACAGGCCAGTATTTCCTAGTTGTTGGTGTTTATACTACATTTTTAAAGATTTGCCCTGAGAGAGTCTTTAAACTTCTTTTGTTGACCACCAGCGTTACACTTTCCATTTTTAACTTTGGAATAGAGTAGTTGCTTTGGAAGACGATAATTGGGCATCCTCACAACATGAGCAGCCCAGAGGTAATATCCATGTGCTTGCCTGGGTATCCTGGCTGGGCGCGGCAGAGCACTAATGCACCGTTAACCAATTAACTGTCACAAGAGGTCTAACTAGAGATGGATAATTCTCTGTTTATCATGAGAGTCAGCCGTGGCACCACAGCCACCGAGGGAGCTTCATGGCTGAGTAGGGATCAAATCCAGCACTCCATCCTGGGTACCAGCCGGTCCCTTGGACTAAGACCCTTGCTTGGTTTGGTGCTTGAAGCAGGGGAAGGAGAATATGGAGCCCTTCCATATTTCCCCTTCTGTAGGCTGCTGCTTGGAGCCTGGCATGATCCATCCCTCAGGCCAGACTAGCCTCTGGCCTCTCCTTTTGGCCACCAGCTACTTCATCATGCCTCTAATCCACTTGCTTTGTGTCATCTGAAGGTACCTTTGGACGCACCAGTGAATTTGGCTGTCACCCTCTCTCCTATTCTACCGTAAGCCTTGGTAAGAAGGAGGTCTTTGGAGTTGTCTGTCTAGCGGAAGAAAGTGTGTGTGCCCCTGCTGAAAACTTGTTCCGTTGTGCCTTTGCAGGCAGTTAAGAAAATAATAATAATAATAATAATAATAATAATAATAATAATAATTTATTATGTGTACCCCACCCATCTGGCTGGGTTCCCCCAGCCACTCTGGGTGGTTTCCAACAAAGATTAAAAATACATTAAAATGTCACACATTAAAAACTTCCCTCAACAGGGCTGCCTTCAGATGTCTTCTAAATGTCAGGTAGTTGTTTTTCTCTTTGACATCTGACGGGAGGGTGTTCCACAGGGCGGGCGCCACTACCGAGAAGGCCCTCTGCCTGGTTCCCTGTAACTTGGCTTCTTGCAGTGAGGGAACCGCCAGAAGGCCCTCGGCGCTGGACCTCAGCGTCCAGGCAGAATGATGGAGGTGGAGATGCTCCTTCAGGTATACTGGGCCGAGGCCATTTAGGGCTTTAAAGGTCAACACCAACACTTTGAATTGTGCTTGGAAACCTACTGGGAGCCAATGTAGGTCTTTCAAGACCTACTCTCAAGGCCACTCTCAGTCACCAGTCTAGCTGCCGCATTCTGGATTAGTTGTAGTTTCCGGGCCAGCTTCAAAGGTAGCCCCACATAGACCGCATTGCAGGAGTCCAAGCGGGAGATAACTAGAGCATGCACCACTCTGGCGAGACAGTCTGCGGGCAGGTAGGGTAGTTAGCTGGTTTCCGATTTTAATTTTGTATATCTTTTTTTTTTAATTGTATGACTTCCTGATTTTTTTTAATGAATAGTGGCATGTTTATTTTATAAATAGATTAAAGCCTGAAATAGATTAAAGTGAACAAGCCGTCTTCCAGAGAGGAGCTCATGCCTGGCCTTTTTAGGTCAGCGTGAGTTGGCAGCTAAATCAAGGTTTGGTTTAGCATGTTGCAACCAGGACCTGTTGCAAATGTGGCTTCAGTATACATGAAGGAGCGTCTCCACACCCATTGTTTAGCCCAGACACTGACGTCCAGCTCCGAGGGCCTTCTGACGGTTCCCTCGCTGCGAGAAGTGAGGTTACAGGGAACCAGGCAGAGGGCCTTCTTGGTAGTGGCACCTGGCCTGTGGAACGCCCTCCTATCAGATGTCAAGGAAATAACTATTTTTCAGAAGACATCTGAAGGCAACCCTGTTTAGGGAAGTTTTAAATGTTTGATGTTTTATTCTGTTTTTAGTGTTCTGTTGCAAGCTGCCCAGAGTGGCTGGGGAAACCCAGCCAGATGGGCGGGGTATAAATAATAACATAATGATGATGATAATGATGATTTTGGAGAGCTTAACCACAATTCTGGATTTGGATGACATGCTAAACCAGCCTTTTGGCTTAGCTGCTGTGGTGCACTGATCTGAAAAGCAAAACAGCTGCAGTTTCCTAAGCCGTGGTTTGGCTTAGTGTGATGTGTGAATTTGGTGTGTGTGTGTGTGTGTGTGTGTGTGTGTGAGAGAGAGAGAGAGAGAGAGAGAGAGAGAGAGAGAGAGAGAATCTGTGTCTACCGTATTACTGAGAACACAGGCAGCTTTCTATACGAACTGGAAACTTGCTTGTTGTGAACGTACTTTCTTATTTCACTGTATAATATAAAACGGAGAGAACAATTATAACAGCAGACGAAGATGAAGCTCCCACGTGGCCTGCCACGTCAAACCCTCACACATTCTTCCGTCTACCTGAAAGGGGTTGCGTTGAGGTGGCGGAACAGACTGCGCCACATCAGATTATATACGTGCAGCCAGTTGATTCCGATGCTCCACACGTATAACTCCCTGCAGATAAAAAAAAAAAAAATTCCTTCCAGTAGCACCTTAGAAACCAACTAAGTTTGTTATTGGTATGAGCTTTCGTGTGCATGCACACTTCTTCAGATACACTGAAACAGAAGTCACCAGACCCTTATATATAGTGAGAGGGTGGGGAGGGGTATTATTTAGAAGGGTGGTGGGAATGGGTGATTGACTGATAGGTGTGGTAAACCTGTTAACGACTGCAACTGGTCTTACAGGAGAAAGCAAGGGGTGAGATGGCTAAAAATAGCTTTATCGTGTATAATGAGATAAGAATCCAACGTCTCTATTCAGACCAGGTCTCTCCATGGTTTTAAGTTTGGTAATAAGTTGCAATTCAGCAACTTCTCTTTCCAGTCTATTTCTGAAATTCTCTTTCTATTCAGTCTATTTCTGAAATGCACACAAAAGCTCATACCAATAACAAACTTAGTTGGTGTCTAAGGTGCTACTGGAAGGAATTTTTTTTGTTTTGTTTTGACTACGGCAGACCAACATGGCTACCTGCAGATAGAAAGCTAGCACATGGGGGGGGGGGAGAGAGGTCCAGTTGGAACCTTGGCCTGCTGTGATTTTTTTCTACTTGCAAGGTATTTCTTTTATTTTATAAGGATCCAGAATGCAAGTTCTTCCCCCCCCCTTTTTTTTTCCGGCTAGGCCCCTTGTCTACATCAGTGGCAGACGCGGCTGTTGCTTATGCGATCTTGGCTGGTCCTGACCCCTGCTACCCGTATGGTGAGTCTTAACTGCCTGTTTGCTCCCATCCAAGGTAGCACGTCTTATCTTCCTTCCACCGCGTGCCTGTTGATGGTTTCTTTTTCACCTGTTTCAGGATTAGGCCAGCCCAAACCATCCCTCTCTGGAGTCCTCACACCTGATCTGAAGGACTTGAAGTTGGGGGTTGACTGGACTTTCTTTAAGGTGCCTGTCTTCGTTTCTCTTGCATCCTTCATTTACATGCAGCCGCTGGAAGAGATCATCAGGGGGTTTGGGCTGGGTGTCCATCAATATGCAGATGATACCCAGCTCTACCTCTCTTTTAAATCAGAACCAGTGAAGGCGGTGAATGTCCTGTGTGAGTGTCTGGAGGCGGTTGGAGGATGGGTGGTGGCTAACAGATTGAGGTTGAATCCTCACAAGACAGAAGACAGGGGGAGGGTGTGGAGGACCCCCTGGTCCTGACTGGGGTAACTGTGCCCCTGAAGGACCAGGTGCACAGCCTGGGAGTCATTTTGGACTCACAGCTGTCCATGGAGGTGCAGGTCAATTCTGTGTCCAGGGCGGCTGTCTACCGGCTCCATCTGGTACGCAGGCTGAGACCCTATCTGCCCGCAGAGTGTCTCGCCAGAGTGGTGCATGCTCTGGTTATCTCTCGCTTGGACTACTGCAATGTGCTCTATGTGGGGCTACCTTTGAAGGTGACCCGGAAACTACAACTGATCCAGAATGCGGCAGCTAGACTGGTGACTGGGAGCGGCCACCGAGACCACATAACACCGGTCTTGAAAGACCTACATTGGCTCCCAGTACGTTTCCGAGTACAATTCAAAGTGTTTAAAGCCCTAAACGGCCTCGGCCCAGTATATCTGAAGGAGCATCTCCACCCCCATTATTCTACCTAGATACTGAGGTCCAGCACCGAGGGCCTTCTGGCGGTTCCCTCACTACGAGAATCCAAGTTACAGGGTACCAGGCAGAGGGCCTTCTCAGTAGTGGCACCTGCCCTGTGGAACGCCCTCCGACCAAATGTCAAAGAGAACAACAACTACCAGATCTGAAGGCAGCCCTGTTTAGAGAAGCTTTTAATGTTTGATGCATTACTGTATTTTAATATTTTGCTGGAAGCTGCCCAGAGTGGCTGGGGAAACCCAGCCAGATGGGCGGGGTATAAATAATAAATTATAATATTATTATTATTATATTGAGATGCAGCCACTTCATCTTCAGAATGTTGCTTCCTGGGTGTTAGATGGGGGATTCCGGGCACTTCATGCGGCTCTTAATCTCAAGGTCATGGGTCTGAGTCCCACACGTTGGGCAAAAGATTCCGGCATTGCAGTGGGCTGAATCAGGTGACCCCTGTGTCCCCTTTCACCTCTACAATTCCATGTCCCCTAAGGAAACGTAAGGCCTCCCTATGACTCTGTCACATGACTGGGAACGTGGTGGGTGCCATAGACTAGAGGAGGAGAAAAGTTCTTTAATTGTGGTTCCGCAAAGCTGGATCCTTGGGGATAACTCTTTTTTTTTATTGTCTGCCAGGCATGTGATGCTGAAATCCTAGCCACCTGCCAGAAAGGTAAATCATTCATAATGAACTGAAAAAAATGTTTAAAAGTAATTTGCCAAAAAAACAAACAAACCCAGAGTCCTTTTTGTTGGGAATAACTCAGAAGGAAATTCCCAGATTTCGGAAAAGGTTATTTATGTATGGCACCACCGCGGCTCGTGTTTTGTTAGCCCCAAAATGGAAAATGAGCGAAGTCCCAACCAGAGAAGATAGGCAACTTAAATGGATGGAATATGTGCAGCTTGTGGACCTAGCGTATAGAATAAGAGAACAAGAAGAACATACGTTTAAAGAAGATTGGAAAATGTTTATTGACTATATGGAGGAAAATTGTGTTTTATTTGAAAACCTGGGCAGCATTAAGATAAATTCAACAGTGTAAATAAGTTTTGACAGATGTAACAATGGAATACTGAATGGTTTAGTTTATATAAAATGTACAGGGATTTATGCTGTGCAAAATGAACCATGGAAAGAGAGGAAGGGAAGTCATTGAAATTTTAAGGTTGTTTAAGTGAATATTGAGGGACGCAGGTGGCACTGTGGTCTAAACCACAGAGCCTAGGACTTGCCGATCAGAAGGTCGGCAGTTCGAATCCCTGCGACGGGCTCAGTTCCTGTTGCTTGGTCCCAGCTCCTGCCAACCTAACAGTTTAAAAGTACGTCAAAGTGCAAGTAGATAAATAGGTACTGCTCTGGTGGGAAGGTAAACGGCGTTTCCGTGCTCTGCTCTGGTTCGCCAGAAGCGGCTTAGTCATGCTGGCCACATGACCCGGAAGCTGTATTGGCTCCCTTGGCCAATAAAGCGAGATGAGTGCCGCAACCCCAGAGTCTTCCATGACTGGACCTAACAGTCAGGGGTCCCTTTACCCTGTAAGTGAATATTCTAAAATGTAGAACATAAATTTAATTAAAAAAAGAAAGCAAGGTAAGCTGCATCACAGATTTGCTGAAACAACTGGGGACACTCGTTAGGCTATTAAGTCTCTCTTATTTCCCTCCCCCACCCCCTGGCGGCGGCTGCCACTGATGATCAGCTGTCAAGTTCCTAGAAGGTTTAGGTGCCTCCGTGGTTGATGTGTCCCTGCCAGAACTGGAGGAGATCCGAGTGGCTCATGTGATCTGCATCCTTAGTGAGATGAGAGATTTCCTGCAACCTGACTTCAACAATTCCTTTGACCAAATGGTAAGTGGAGGGCTGACTCGGAACTGTAGTCCCAAAACAGCCGGAGACTCAAGTTTGGCAAACCCTGGGATAGATTGTGAAGCCGCATCTTCCTCGCCAGGGCCACCAATTAACCATAGTTTCTCCAAACACAGAAATGGTGCTTTCCCCCTCTTGCTTACCGCACTGAGTGGCACGTGAACTGGCCTAGCAGTTCCCATATTCCTTTCCGTTTTGGCCCTGCGGAGATTGCGACACACCTTGCTTGACGAGGAGGAAAAAACATCTGCACATGGCTCAACTCTGCCTGTATCTGTGCCTTTTTGTCTCTGTTCACTGGTGGAAGGTTGTGTGTGCAGAGGGGTCTTAACTTCAGCATAGCTCTGTGCCGTTACAATACCTACATGTCTGTTCTAGGTGGGCAGGTTGCTCATGACTATTTAGGATTAGAGTTTACCCCAGTGTTTCTTCCTTTTCCAGAATCTGGAGACTCGTCTTAATCTTGCAATCGCTTCTAAGTTCACAGCTCTGGATTATATTAAGGTAAAAGGCAATTAATTGCAAGATTGCACCATTATTATGTGCTGTATTGCAGTAGGGTATGCTTTCCTGTCTTCCCCACAGACTCAATTCCCACTTGTGTTTGCAGGCAAATCGGCAGCGGAGCCGCACCATGGCCTTTCTACGACAGATGTTTGCGAATGTGAACTGTCTTATTACCCCAGGTATCTGATGCCAGCTGAATTTAACACTATTTCTATTAACTTGTAGGGGCTTTATTGGCCTAATTTGCTTCCCGTCCTGCATGTGCTCTGGTCTAAATTAAAATGTTTTCATACTGAGTGTAGTAGCGCCTGGCCAAATGACGTTGGGTGTTTTAAATGCAGCAGGGCATGAGGTCATCATGAGGTTCCTAGAGAGAGGTGGTGTATGTTTTGTGACTGGTTGGTATGACCTCTGTCTGGGTATGTTAAAAAAAGGAGGTTATATGTGTTGTCACCTACCAGGTGTCGGATCTCTAAAATGGACATGTTTCCTAAGCCATCGTCTACATGTGTAATGCCCTCGCCATATAAGGCATATCAAGGGAGATTTGAACTGTAACTTGTGCCTTGGCTCAGTTTCTTGATGTTTTTATTCCCCTGGGCACCTTTGGGAGGAAGCATGGGATATAAATTAAATAAGTAAAGAAAAATAAGGATTTATGTCATAAAACGTATATACTGAAAAAACAACTGGCCTAATGCAGCCAGAAATATGCTAAAGATTTTTTGCTGAACTAGGTGAATTAAAACGATACTTAGATGGCAGAACATGCACTTTGTATGTGTATCATTTTAGATTCAATCCATAGCGCCTGTTTAAAGGATTTGTGCTTTGCAGGCAGATTTCATCTGCATAAAAAGGTTTTTTTTCGCTTTTGACCTCACATCCCTTTTTCATTATCTGTTTTTTTTAATTGAAAGTTTTCAACATACAGTGCAATAAAAGTCAGACTAATCTAAATAGAGAAGAAAAGACAAAAGCAGAAGAAAAGAGAGAGAGAAACAAAGAGAGAAAATAAGAGGGAAAAGAGAGGAAAAAATATAAAAATACAGAACCCTCTGTCAGGGGTAGATTTTAACCCTTATCTCACACAATAGGGAGAGGACCCTCCCTGCTCTCACTTGAGAGGTTCCATTTCTTCTCCCAGTCTCCCATCCTAGGAGTTCTTCCCTTCCCTGCCTCTCACACAGGGTCCTTCATCAGTCATCCATCACCTTCCTGTGAGTAAATTGCAGTTTTCAGTAAATTTTGGCTTTCAGAACCAGCTCAGCTAAGTCTTATGTGTAGCATAAAGGTAAAGGGACCCCGACTGTTAGGTCCAGTTGCGGACGACTCTAGGGTTGCGGTGCTCATCTCACTTTACTGTCCGAGGGAGCTGGCGTACAGCTTCCGGGTCGTGTGGCCAGCATGACTAAGCTGCTTCTAGCGAACCAGAGCAGCGCACGGAAACACCGTTTACCTTCCCGCTGGAGCAGTACCTAATTATCTGCATGCACTTCATGCTTTCGAACTGCTAGGTTGGCAGGAGCAGGGACCGAGCAATGGGAGCTCACCCCGTTGCGGGGATTTGAACCGCCAACCTTCTGATCCTTTTTTACTGGGAAACAGCTATGGGGGTTGACTGGAAACGTTCACAGTGAGGGATAAGAGGGACTGTTAAGAGCCTATATAACTCAGGATAAAAGCACGCAACTTAAAAAAACCCCACACCACACACATATTTTTCTCTTGTGCAAGGTACTGCATGCTGTGCCCCAAGAATCCAGGACTCTGATCTTCTGACTGGGTGTAGCGATGTTAGGACAACTCTCCGGACCATGAGGTAAAGACATGTGTTTTTCAAAGCAAAACTGTGGCAGTGAGGAAGGAGGGCAGGATTCTAGGGGGACCTGGCTCCCTCCAAAGTGAAACTGGCCATTAGATACATGGGAACTGAGACTTGCTTTGGTTTGCTGTCTTTGCCATCTTAAAGAATAATGTTCTTGGGATTTTTAACACTCCATGTTGGCTGGGTTTCAGCTGATAGAAACACCCCAGTTGGCTGGACTTCTTTGAGGGGAGAGTAAGGGGTTCTAGATGTGCAGCCCAAGTCGTTTTGCTCAACAAGTATATATCTGCTATAGCAGGGCTGGGAGCTGCAGGCCAATGGAGGATGGGGCCAAAGGGAAAAGTGGGCATGGATGTGACCATTGACCAGTAGGCTGCGTTCAAGGCATGCAGATGTTGGAGGGTTCTACAAACACATCTTTCCATCCAGGCAAGAAAGTAGTGGAAGAACGTTGCCTTAGGAGAGTGAGGAAAATTCTTGGGTGATTCACACCCTGGCCAGCACTTTCTTGATCTCCTGCCCTCAGGCAGAAGATATAGAAGCATGATTAATCGCACCAGCAGGGTAAAGAACAGCTTCTATCCGTGGGCTGTTAGGCTGCTGAATGAAAAGATAACAATAACTGACTTTTGGGTTTGGTGGATGTGCGTCAGTAAACGAGGGGAATTAAGACTAAGAGAGCTGAGTGGGGGATGCTCGTGTAATCTCACTATATACAAGTTGTACAAGTGACAATAAAGTACCGTATTTTTCACTCCATAGAGCGCACCGGATCATAGGGCGCACCTAGTTTTTAGGGGGGGAAATAAAGAAAAAAAGATTTATCCCCCCCCCCAGCCCCAAAGAGCAAAGAAGCCAAGACTGCCAGCGGGATCCATCCCAACTCCAGCCCCCAGAACAGGTCCAAGAGCGGAGGCAAGGTTGTGCAGCCTTGCCGCCACTCCCGGAGCTTGCGGGCTGGGGGAGCGCTCCGAAGGATAGCTGCCCGAAGCCCGGGGTGCACAGCGCTGCGCTCCCTGGGCTTCGGGCTGCAGGCAGCTATCTGCAAGCCTTCGGAGCCCGGCGGAAGTTCCCACCGCGCTCCGAAGGCTTGCGGATAGCTTCCTGAAGCCTGGAGAGCGAGAGGGGTCGGTGCGCACCGACCCCTCTCGCTCTCCAGGCTTCAGCGAAAGCCTGCATTCGCTCCATAGGACGCACACACATTTCCCCTTCATTTTTGGAGGGGAAAAAGTGTGTCCTATAGAGCGAAAAATACAGTATTTCAATTGTCAGAGTTCACATTCCAGTACTCAAGAAGGATGTGAAGCTGGGCTGTTGAGGGATATGGTCTTAGGGCAGACTTTCCCAAACTTGGTTCTCCAGCTGTTTTTGGACTAGAACTCCCATCATCCCTAGCTAGCAGTACCAGCTGTCAGGGGTGATGGGAACTGTAGTCCAAAAACAACTGGAGAGCCAGGTTTGGGAAACAAGGGTCTAGGAGGGAGAGGGTGTGGCTTAGGGAGTCCTAAGGATCAGAGAAAGATGTCTGCTGGGCCACCTCTGATGTGCCCCTTCTCTCTTGATATTTGTAGGTACATGCAACTGGCCAACTTGACTGGCATCCCAGCGCTGGTAATACCAGTTGGATATTCTAGTTCAGGGCTTCCTATCAGCATCCAGGTAAATACGACTTTCTCTTGCTAGTAAAATGGGTAAAGGACCCCTGGATGGTTCAGTCCAGTCAAAGGTGACTATGGGGTTGCGATGCTCATCTCGCTTTCAGGCTGAGGGAGCTAGCATTTGTCCACAACTCTCCGGGTCATGTGGCCAGCATGACTAAACCGCTTCTGGCGTAATGGAACACCGTGATGGAAGCCAGAGCGCATGGAAATGCCATTTACCTTCCCACTGCAGTGGTACCTATTTATCTACTTGCACTGGTGTGCTTTCGAACTGCTAGGTTGGCAGAAAGCCGGGGCAAAGCAACGGGGGCTCACCCCATCATGCGGATTCAAACCGCTGACCTTCCGATCACCAAGCCCAAGAAGCTCAGCACCACCCCCTCCCTCTCTTGCTGGCACCTTTCATAGTTCATCCCCATACACATAGTGGAAACAACCACATGAATTCACTCCTACCTTGGCACCTGCCTGATGCCTCTCACCCTGGTTCCTCTCAAATGTGGCAATAAGGATGAGAGTTTGCCCCTTCCTGGCCAAGGATCACGTGTGCTGCTCTGGAAGCTGGTTTATTTTCCTCTGAAAAGAGGGGTGCTCTCTGGTCACATTTTATATTACTGCAGGATCCTACTGAAATGTACACAGGCCTCTTCCTCCTTCTTTGCCAAGAAGCCCTTGGCTGGTTGTGTTTCAACAGTGACCAAATACCAGATGTGTTAGCCAGACGTAAAATGCTTATGCCACGTAACAATGGAAATGCAACTACCCCATTCTTTTTCACACACCGTCATATACAGTGGTATCTCGGGTTAAGAACTTAATTCGTTCTGGAGGTCTATTCTTAACCTGAAAATGTTCTTAACCTGAAGCACCACTTTAGCTAATGGGGCCTTCAGCTGCTGCCGCACTGCCGGAGCACGATTTCTGTTCTCATCCTGAAGCAAAGTTCTTAACCCGAGGTACTATTTCTGGCTTAGCGGATCTGTAACCCGAGGTACCACTGTATGATGAAAGACATCCACTGGCAGGTGTGGTAGCTCAAAAAAAGACACATTTGCCCCCGTGGTTTGTTAGGATACATACAGAACCTGCCAAATGAGGACATTCAAAGGGTGTGCTTTTGAAGAACGCAAGAGCGGCCCTGCTGCAGGAAACCCAGAAGCCATCTATTCCAGCATCCCCTTCTCACAGGGGCCAACCCAGAGCCATAGCTTGGGGGTGGGGGTGGGAGCTGGTTTTTTTTGTCCCCAGTGGAAGTCCCCAGAGAGGTGCCATTGAGGCTCCCAGCCTGTGTGTGTGTACACAAATGTGCATTGGGGTGTGTATGACAAACTGGGTCTTTGACCCAGGTGAAATAAAGTCTAGTTTTGCCCCATGCCAACCAGATGCCTAAGTTTCGCCATGTCCCCTCTCGCTATTCCCATCAGCTGGTATTCAAGTCATCTGGCCTCGGATGACGAGGTAAACAATAGCCCTCATGGCTCGTAGCAAGTGGGGAACTGACTTTGCAGGAAGCTCCCTCTGTGGCATTCGTAATGTCTAGTTGAGCCTCCTTCAAATAGATAAGGGGCAGGCTTCTAAAATGTCAATACCGTAAAACACTGAAGAAGTTGTGCCGGTTCTCTTCCCAACTTCATATACCAGTTCTCTTACAGCTAGCAAGTCCCCTTTCCCTTAACTGAGATACCTTCAGGCCCTTTCAGTTGGTCTACTTAGAGCACAAATGACCTTGATGGAGGTGCTGCCCCCCTCTTTGCATGGTGCATTCTAGTAACTACTTTGAAGTATTCTTCCTCAGAGCGTATCCCTGCTATTGTACTCTTCTCTTTCTCACACAGATCATGGCAAAGTGGTGGGATGAAGCACTACTGTTCCGGATTGGCCTGAAGCTGGAGCAATTTCATGGCATAACAGCAAAACCAGCCATTTATTACGACATTCTTGGGCAATAGGGCCAGCTGTCTCGAACCAATGCAAAGTAAAACTTTTTTTTAAAAAAAAGCGTTTGGAGGTTTGGGTGGCTTGAGGCAAGAGAACAGGCAATTTTTCTGTGCATAAAAATCTTTGTTATTCATGGAATATTAAGTAATAACTTATTGTTTGGGTTGAGGTTTTAGATCTATACCCACGCTACTTTGGGACTGGCCAGATTTAGGGTACCCGATCCTGAGCCAATGAATGCTCCTCAGCTTAAATTACATAGAGCAGAGGCCAGCAGAAATAGGTGCTCTGAACTAGTAACCCTCCAAATCAAATAGACTAAAAGCAGAATTGAAAATATATTGGGGAGAATGACCATGGTTACAAAGTTCATTTTGCCTGTTTGTTTTCTAGAGGTAGAAAGGTTAATACAGAGGTTAACCCTAACCACAGATACAGAGGAATGATGGGCCTTGGGCTTTTGCAAAAAAACTGCCCATCCCCACAAAATGAAACAGCATAGACAAGGTCATAGTTCATTACCTTAATATTGATCTGTTGCCATGATTATGGGGCATGAAGAAGGGCTTGTTCCTATATAGGTTCTCTAACAAATGCATTCAAAATGGTTAAGGCTAGGGGGTTGCCAAGATCTTTGCACTGATGGAGACAGGATCGTTTTCTTAGGATTCAGACTAAGAGGGCTGTGGTGGGGCATGCACCCATTCACAAAATTTGGCAGGTGTACAAAACCATTATACAGAAGGCAAAGCGGTGAGGAACCAAAGAATAAATATCTATATCTATATATCTATATATAAACATAGCTGCCATCTCCACCCAGGATTTGATGAACCAGGCTGGAAGAGGGGGATAATCTGTTCGGTGCTGCATGCCATGGTTTGGGCAACTCCCCACATCTTCTCTCCCCCTACCTGCCCAGTAGGAGGCCATGGGAGGAATAGACTGCTCTTGCCAGAGGTCTGAACTGATGAGTTGTGGGGAGCTTTCCTCACGACTCCATGAAATTAGGTTGTGGTCTGCAGGTTGTCCTGTTAGGGCGTGTTGAATTTTGCAACTTTCAGATTCCAAAAATAAGGGGTTCTAAAAAGTTGTAACATGAGTTGGGAATTCAAAAGATATTGTGGTTAAATAAATATAATTTAGTTTTCCTTGGTAAGGAAAGATGGTGTAAAATTGCGTTAGAAACATTAAAATTATTACTAAGTACTTGCAGTTATTTTATTTCTAATTACCTGACATTTTCAGAAAGTAAAATTGTTTGGTTTTCTGAAAGCAGTTTATGTGCTGTTTCATCAAGTGAAGACTTGTAAATGTGGACCAATCACAAAAGTAATACAGTGGTACCTCGCAAGACGAATGCCTCGCAAGACGGAAAACTCGCAAGATGAAAGGGTTTTTTGTTTTTTGAGCTGCTTCGCAAGACGATTTTCCCTATGGGCTTGCTTTGCAAGACGGAAACGTCTTGCAAGTTTGTTTCCTTTTTCTTAACACCGTTAATACAGTTGCGACTTGACTTCGAGGAGCAACTCATAGCACGCGGTGTGGTAGCCTTTTTTGAGGCTTTTGAAGACTTTGGTGATTTTTGAAGCTTTTCCAAAACTTTTCCGACACCGTGCTTCACAAGACGAAAAAAATCGCAAGACGACAAAACTCGCGGAACAAATTAATTTCGTCTTGCGAGGCACCACTGTAGAAGATTTGAATTTCTAACACCCAGAAAGGTATTTTAAAGACCCCTCACTGAAGAAATTTGCAAAAATTGAGTTTCATCCTCTAAAATGGCATGCCCTATTGTTCCTAGGTTATAGTTAATTGCCATAATTCTGAGACCAGGCCAAATTGAGGCTCTGTACTTGGCCTTGTACGCTTCCTTCTGGCTACTCCTGCAGCCAAGCTGGTGCCAAACGTATTGCTCTGCTTTCCTTTGGACCACATCAGTGAAGCTGAGAGGAGGGTCTTCATCTCTGGCCAGCCCAGGATCTCCATACACACAGCCCAGGCTTGCATCCCAGGCAGATCACTTCAGTGGTTTAATTTCACCCCCAGAGGTGCACTCATTGTCTCTTGGGACAGATAGGTGCCAGTAAAGTTTCACTTGGTCACTGGTTCACACAAGACACAAAATGGGAGAGTAGTTGTTTATCTGACTTAATCTGTGACCCTCAGTCCAAAATAAAACGTTTTACCAAAGTCCCCCTCAAGCCAACTCCTCCTGTACAGTACTTCCTCCCTTTTGAATAGAGTGAGCACACTTGGTACTAAAAGGTAAAGGGACCCCTGACCATTAGGTCCAGTCGTGGCCGACTGTGGGGTTGCGGCGCTCATCTCACTTTATTGGCCGAGGGAGCTGGCGTACAGCTTCCAGGTCATGTGGCCAGCATGACTAAGCCGCTTCTGGCAAACCAGAGCAGCGCACGGAAACGCCGTTTTCCTTCCTGCCACAGTGGTACCTATTTATCTACTTGCACTTTGACGTGCTTTCAAACTGCTAGGTTGGCAGGAGCAGGGACCGAGCAACGGGAGCTTACCCTGTCGCAGGGATTCGAACCGCCGACCTTCTGATCGGCAAGTCCTAGGCTCTGTGGTTTAACCCACAGTGCCACCCGCGTCCCACTTGGTACTACAGCAGTGTAAAATCACGGTGTGTAGACATCAAATCACAAAATGAATGGGAGAAAATTGGGCCTAGCTGTACCCAATTCCTGAGAGCGTTCAGAGCAGGTAAACTAAGTTTAGCTACTTGAGCTTGGCACAGAATATGTTGGGCATGCAAACATACATTCTGCTGCACCTCTATCACCCAACAGCCACACGTTTGAGGAACTGGGTGCAGCATACAGATGTCACTTTCTGACCACATCAACCCTTCCTAGTTCCGCTCTGGTAGAATTCAAAGTATATTTTAAAAACAAGTTTTTACTTGCCTCTTTGGTCGTGCAGTAGTTTTGAGCTAAAGACAGCAGCACCGTAATGTGACCAAGTGTCACACCCCCAAAATGCAGGGGTGCATTCCTTGTTGGTTGGTTGCTTCCTTCCTTCCTTCTTTCCATTAATAATTTTTATTAAATTTTCAAATTTTACATTTCAAATTGAACATCTGAAATCAAACCTGGTCCGATTAGGTTCAGTGCGGTACCAAGGGAGAGGGCCAAGCTTAGTGCCCACGCCCATCCTGATCTTTAGTTTCTCACATGTAGTTGTCATTCATTCATTCATTCCCATGGGTGAAGTAAAAAACTGGACTTGTCAGTTCTGTTAGGGTGAGGCCTAGCCTGCAAGGGCCTTAGCCACCAACCTCTTAACTCCCCGGCGATCTACAGTGGGTTGAATGTGTGTCTACACCTCAGTTCATTGTACCCTGCTGGTTATATTGGAAATATATACCTTACTGCTTGCATTTAAGCTATATATTGGCAAGCTGTGGAAGTAGCAGTAAAAAGCAATTGTGTGGCAGAGGTGGGGGATGCTGCAGTTCTTGTCCCTTCTATTCACCTGGTATTGAACCCTCTCTCCCTGCTGCTTTCCTGATCCCATGAACTGCACATGTGGTTTCAGATTAGGGCAGGTGCAGAGTACAAAAATCCGTCTTGCCTTCCTCACAAGAAGATGCGGAATACTTTTCATTCTGCTGTTTTGAGGTAGTCCACAAGTCTAGGCTTCTAGTGGTCTCATTCTCAGAGTCAGGTTTTTGGGTAGGCAAAACCGCCAGCTGCATGCTTCAGCTGAGCTGCAAGAACAGAAGTGTTAAGAGGGAAGGGGGTGGGGACGGGGACTCTAAGCTTGTGCATGCAAAGTAGATGGAGTGACCACACATACAAAGCTCTTGCTTCATAGATGTATGTTGATAATACAGTATATACACAATGATTGCTTTATATAAAATAACACCTTGTTTATATCGCGACATTTAATTGCCACTTGGCCCTTCCTTAACCCACAAAAAAAAACCAGCAGTATACAAAATATAAAATATTTTTTAAATATTTATAAACAGTTGCAAGGAAAAAATAGAACTGTATGAAAATATCCTTCCCTTCTTCAGGTGATTAATGGGCTTTTAATCCGTAGCTGTTCAGAGGATACGAGTATGCCCTGCCCAACACTATACGGTCCCGCAGGAGTTTAAATAAGACATAGTAATTGCAGAAGAGGATCAGGGCCATGGAAAGGGTATGGTTCCACTTCTCTGACCGCAACAGGGAGTAGAGCTGATAGCAGACCACGCTGCCTTCAATGAGAATCAGCAGGTTGAGAAGCCGTAATGGACGGTGAAAGAGGAACTGTAGGGAGGGAAGAAAACAGTGCTTGAAGGGTCAGAAAGCAGACCGTTTTATGAAAACTGAATTCTGGGGGGCAGGGGAAAAGGAATAGAGGCCCAGCAACTGCATCTGAAGCCCCAGGGCTGTAGCCACTAATAATAATAATAATAATAATAATAATAATAATAATAATACAGTGGTGTCTCGCAAGACGAAATTAATCCGTTCCGCGAGTCTCTTCGTCTTGCGGTTTTTTCGTCTTGCGAAGCATGGCTATTAGCGGCTTAGCGGCTATTAAAGGCTTAGCGGCTTTAAGAAAAAGGAAACAAACTCGCAAGACATTTCGTCTTGTGAAGCAAGCCCATAGGGAAATTCGTCTTGCGGAACGACTCAAAAAACGGAAAACCCTTTCGTCTAGCGAGTTTTTCGTCTTGCGAGGCATTCGTCTTGCGGGGCACCACTGTAATAATAATAATAATAATTAAAAAAAAATATTTTAGTTATATCCCGCCCTCCCCAGCCGAAGCCGGGCTCAGAGCGGCTAACATCAAATGTATAACACGTTAACATAAAATCAGACAATCAATTAAAATACATCCTCAAATCAAATCAGATCAGGATCAGAATAAAATCCAATCAGATGGCAATCAGAACATTTGCTGTGGTTCTGTTATTTGAACCACTGGATCAGATTCAACTACTCGGTTCTGCTAGAGGAAGCCGTGCGAGGACTTGTGCTAGTGCAACAGGGCTCCCCCCCACCATTCGCCTATCCCAAACCTTCTCTAGAGGCAAGGAGATGTGAGATCATTCTGTCGGGCAAGCAGTAGTGCATGTGCTGATGGAAGAGTCTCCTCGGTATACCTGAAGGAGCGTCTCCACGCCTATCGTTCAGCCCGGACACTGAGGTCCAGCTCTGAGGGCCTTCTGGCGGTTCTCTCATTGCGAGAAGTTACAGGGAACCAGGCAGAAGGCCTGTAGTGGTGCCCGCCCTGTGGAACGCCCTCCCATCAGATGTCAAGGAAATAAACAACTATCTGACTCTTAGAAGACATCTGAAGGCAACCCTGTTTAGGGAAGTTTTTAATGTTTGATGTTTTACCGTATTTTTAATATTCTGTTGGGAGCCACCCAGAGTGACTGGGGAAACCCAGCCAGGTGGGCAGGATATAAATAATAAATCATTATGATTATGATTACTACTGCTACTCCTCAGCTTAGCGCTACACTGAAGTTCACCCCGTTATATTGCCAATACAGGGTTTCCCAATCTTGGGTCTCCGGCTGTTTTTGGACTACAAAAACTTACTCAGGGGTTATATTCCCAGGTACTGCTGTATATGTGAAATTGTGCATAGTGGGGAACGCCATCTTAAAAAGCCAAACTCCACCAAAAACCCACAATCATCCTCCCAACTTCACCACAATCACTTCCTCCAACTCCAACAGGCCTCAAAGACTCATGGGATTGCAGCTGCAAAGGCTCCTGGGATTGTCAGCTGCTTTGCCACTATTTGGGGGCCATTTTGCCCATTCCGCAGTTTACATCAATTTATTTACAGTGGTGCCCCGCAAGACGAATGCCTCGCAAGACGGAAAACCCGCTAGACGAAAGAGTTTTCTGTTTTGCAGGTGCTTCGCAAAACGAATTTCCTATGGGCTTGCTTCGCAAGACGAAAATGTCTTGCGAGTTCCTGCAGGGTTCCCCCCCCCTTTTTCCCAAGCCACTAAGCCGCTTATCAGCTGATCCACTAAGCCGCTTATCAGCTGATCCGCTAAGCCGCTAAACAGCTGATCGCTAAGCCGCTTATCAGCTGATCCGCTAAGCCGCTTAACAGCTGATCCGCTAAGCCGCTAATAGCGCTAATCCGCTAATGGGCTTGCTTCGCAAGACGAAAAAACCGCAAGACGAAGAGAATCGCGGAACGGATTCTTTTCGTCTTGCGAGGCACCACTGTATTTGCAGGCATCAGAATAATTGTGCTGAAATGTGGTGGTGGGGCGTATGAATTCTTACATAATAATACTTACGGTACTTACATAAAAGCGGGCATGGGACACATCTGAAGGCACTGCTACGTTATAAGGCCCGACTGCTTTGTATAGGCATCGACTGTGTCGCACTAGCACTCCCTGTGGCCATATTGTGCTCTCAGACCAGCTGTGGAGTATGACAAAGGGACTCGGTGAGCATCAGAAAGCCAACCCGGAGTAATTTCACGATTCACAATGTTATATATACACTTGGTCATATATACGCCCCGAATTCGTGTTGATTGGTTTAGGCATTTATATACACATATTTTCAAGCAGTAGACACTGAAATAACAGCAAGAGGTTTCAACCGAGTTGTAAATTCTGAATTAGACTGGTCAACACAAACATACGTAAAATCTGAGGTTTCAACTCTGTTTTGGAAAGTAGAATCTTTCACTGGTAGCCATAAAATACACAAAACAAAGATACATTGAGTTATGTAATAAAGCTGACAATCTTCTTGTATGCAGGTTAAAAATATATGCAACTAAAAAGAAGAATACCTCAGGTATAAATTGAAGAACAAAAGGAAAGAAACCCCGAGGGTAAAATCATAAATAGCTTTGGATATACAAATCATAAAACCCATCCTTCACCAACCTGGTACCCTCCAAGATATTTTGGAATACAACTTACAACCAATTGTACAATTTGATGTGAATTTGAATAAGTATAAACCAATTTCATAGGAATCCTAATTCTCTTCTTTATTTTTGCTCTGGAGGTGTACAGATGAAATTATGAAAAATTAGACACTAAAAGCTGAAATAAGCAAGTGGACTTTTTTGGAAAGATTAGCAACAATGTAAGCTAACTTCATGAGAAGGCCTGCTTTAGTACCACTAATGTGAAACTGCCCTGTATTAACTGCAAGAACCCTATCCTGTCCAATTTCAAATTTGGAGCTGGGAGAGGGAAGCAAGGGATTTATCCCCAGCCACAGTGTGAGGTCAAGAATCACAGTCTAATCCTTACCTAAGCCTGTCTACTCAGAGATAAATCCAACTGAGTTCAATCCGATATCCTTCCAATTAAGCATGCACATGCTTGCAGTTACCATTCAGTAAGCCCAATTAAACACAGCAGGACTTGCTTCAGAATAGAAATGTACTGAAAGAGAGGTAGGGTCCTGGGCGCTCACAATTTTTGGTTTGGTTTGTGGACCCATTTTTATCCATACCTTGGCAGTGCCTTTATTTGTGGGTGACCCACTTTGTTGCCTAAAGGGCAGGCACTAAAGGTATAGAATCATAGAATCATAGAGTTGGAAGAGACCACAAGGGCCATCGAGTCCAACCCCCTGCCAAGCAGGAAACACCATCAGAGCACTCCTGACATATGGTTGTCAAGCCTCTGCTTAAAGACCTCCAAAGAAGGAGACTCCGCCACACTCCTTGGCAGCAAATTCCACTGTCGAACAGCTCTTACTGTCAGGAAGTTCTTCCTAATGTTTAGGTGGAATCTTCTTTCTTGTAGTTTGGATCCATTGCTCCGTGTCCGCTTCTCTGGAGCAGCAGAAAACAACCTTTCTCCCTCCTCTATGTGACATCCTTTTATATATTTGAACATGGCTATCATATCACCCCTTAGCCTCCTCTTCTATAGGTAAAGGGACCCCTGACCATTAGGTCCCGTCGTGGCCGACTCTGGGATTGCGGTGCTCATCTCGCTTTATTGGCCGAGGGAGCCGGCGTACAGCTTCTGGGTCATGTGGCCAGCATGACTAAGCCGCTTCTGGTGAACCAGAGCAGTGCACGGAAACGCCGTTTACCTTCCTGCCGGAGCAGTACCTATTTATCTACTTGCACTTTGATGTGCTTTTGAACTGCTAGGTTGGCAGGAGCAGGGACTAAGCAACGGGAGCTCACCCCGTCACAGGGATTTGAACAGCCGACCTTCTGATCAGCAAGTCCTAGGCTCAGTGGTTTAACTCACAGCGCCACTCACCTCCAAAGGGCAGGCACTAGATCACCTAAATTCAAATGAGACGAAATGATGATTTGAAAACTTGTGATTTGTCTGTTAAGTGATTTAAGCTAGGGAGAATGATGTTACACTAGTTCTCTGCGTCCTCTTCCTACAATTCTCACTGGATGAGAATACAAAAACAAAACAAACCCCCCACCCTGCCAGTTACCACAATAAATTCTGCGAAAAGTCTCAGGTAAGCCTATCAAAAACAGATCTCAATAACAGTAAATGAAAGTATGGTGCACAACAAAATCATTGAAGAATACTGACACGCACAATGTAGTCTTGGGTCCAACTAAAGAAAGGTACAAAGTTAGGATACCTTCAGCTGCCCTATTTTCTTTCCCTTGACCCCTGTCAACAAATGCTTTGAGGTCACACTCACATGTGCTGGGGGGCATTGCTGTATGAACCATGTTCCAGCTTCTGCCACTTGCCCAGGTGGGCAGCTGATCTGTGCAGCAAGTCACAATACTTGGGAGGAAGCAGCTGGGTGGTGAGCATGACAAAGGCGTTGATCCACACCATGATGAGGTGTTCACAGGACCAGCGCATGTCATAGTACTGTGTGCTCTGCAAGAAACCAAAGAGGGTGTTAATGCCAACGCCCCAGAGATCTCAAGAGTGGGAAGATGGTGCCCCACAGCCATAGATTTAAGTAGCTAACTAGGAACTGCAAGGCCAGCAAAGGAATCTTTAGAGATCCTCCTTTCTCCTTGGCATACATTACATGAAATTTTTGCACAGCTGATGTATATGCCATTGTGGAATATGTGCACACCCGTGGTCACTGGCATGGAAGTAAAACAAGCCCAAGAACGCTTCTTGGGTACACAGAGAGAAACTGGATTGGGTGTGGAAGGTCCAGATCTGCACATTAGACACCAGCCTGATAAGAGCGCCAGTGATCTAGCTGGACAGCTTTCTGAGGTCTCTGGTAAGCCAGCCTGGATATCACAGCTGCCCCTATTCTCTAACCATATTAATTCAAATCCTGCAATGGCTCCCAGTGGAGTACAGGATCAAGTTTAAGGTGCTGGTTTTAACCTTTAAAGCCCTATACGGCCTAGGATCCTCGTACCTATGGGATCGCCTCTCCCGGTATGTCCCATGGAGGACCTTACGGTCTTCAAACAAAAACTTCTTGGAGGTCCCGGGCCACAGAGAGGTCAGGCTGGCCTCAACCAGAGCTAGGGCTTTTTCAGCTGTAGCTCCGATCTGGTGGAAAGCTCTGTCACAAGAGACTAGGGCCCTGAGGGACTTGACATCTTTCCGCAGGGCCTGCAAGACAGAGCTGTTCCACCAGGCCTTTGGCCAAGGCAGTCTGACCCCCTTCTTTGGTAATCCTCACAGAACTCTAGCCCAATGGTTGCCATTAATTTGATTTTGAATTGATTTTAGAATCCTGTGTTACTTTTATTGTTGTTAGCTGCTCTGAGCCTGGCTTCGGCTGGGGAGGGCGGAATATAAATAAAAATGTATTATTATCATTAGTAGTAGTAGTATGAACACCCAAGGCACTGTCAAATCATGATGTGAGCTGGGCATCAAATGCCTCCTAACAGTACCAAAATACAGTGGTACCTTGCTACTCAAATGGCTTGGCTCCCAAACAAATTGGCTCCTGAATGCTGCAAACCCTGAAGTAAGTGTTCCGTTTGCGAACGTTTTTTGGAAACTGAACGTCCGACACGGCTTCTGCTTGAGTGCAGGAAGCTCCAGCAACCATTCAGAAGCAGCACCTTGGTTTTCGAACGGTTTCGGGAGTCAAATGGACTCCCGGAGCGTATTAAGTTTGAGAACCAAGGTACCACTGTATAGTTGTTACAGTTGTCTGGGAAAGAGGACGGGGCTAGTAGATGCAGTGAAAAATGAGTGGGCGAACCACAGTGGCACTACATGTATGGCAAGACCTAGCTGCCAGTCGGGAGTGATACTCCAGAATCAAGCCACATTCTGCCATCCAGGCTGCCAGAGGGGAGACAAAGAAAGGGAAATTTAACCAGAAACCCACTGTGTTAACAATCCACAGATAAGATTTAGAAGGTGGTGGCAGCAGCAGTAGCAGCAGCAGCAATAGCAATGAAGGAGTAGGGCAACAGCTACCTTCACAAAGCACAGTGGCAGGAATGCCACATAATAGGCACTGAAGAGGGAGTTGAATAGAACCTCCTTGATTCTGCGGTTGAAGTCTGCTTTCAGGCATTCCACCTCGTTGCGAATGAGGTCTGGAGACAAGGGGCAGCTGTGTGTGGGGATGGGCACGGGGTTGTTGAACTGTTCTTTCAGGGACTCTCTCAGGAGAGAGAGGAAGTCTTTGGGCTTGACGAGGCTGCCAACCCCCGTGGCACCAGAATCTACCAGCTGATCCTGCACCAAATAGCCACAGTCTGTGGGAAGAGGCTGTGTTCTGCTGTCTTGGTGGAAGCAGCACAGTGGGACATAGACACCAAACCTGCAGGGAAGGGAAAGGCGAGGGTGAGATTACAGCCTGTGGTATATTAGGCATTCCAACCATGAACATCTGAAAGGAGCTTCCTGAGCAAGAGGCTTGCATTTCCTGCACCCAGGTTATTTGCTCATGTGCTACTTTTGTGGTATGCCTCAACTCCCAGGGCTAAGCAGTGAGGCCATAGGTGAAGGAGCACAATCATTGTGTTGGCTCTATCTCTTCAATTGCTGCCATTCTTCTCCCCTTTCCTACCCACCTTTAAAATCTACTCTTCCTCATTGGCTCATATATTGCATTAAGTCAATGGACCAGATGTCTCTTGAGCTTTATAATGATTCTAGCAGGGAAAAGATGTTGAGAGAGGCATCATTTTCCTCCTACCCATTTCCCCCGAAAGACCTATTCAACTGGCGGCTTTTAACCCTGTCGATTCTCTGCCAATCTTGTGTGGATCAACAGGGCTTCTCTTTGTCATGTCTTGTACTTTTGGACCCTTTCCTATTTATTACATTCAGGATACAAGAGAATGATACTCACGGGTAGCCAAGAAAGAGGAGATTCAGAACAGAATGGCTACGGAAAAGGTTAACTAGTGTCCAGCAGAGCACCCATCCACACAAAGTGAGCAGCACCAGGCGTGCCAAAATCAGTGCCGTGTAGTGAATCACTGATGTAGTTCCCACCTGAGAGGCCTGCAAATTCAAACACCAAGAACCATCAGCCCTACAGATTCTCTTCCTATATGCCATAATATATTCCAAGAAACAGCCTGATCTACCATCCCCACACGGTATAGCATGGCTCTCAAAGCCAAAAGGAAACCATTTTTATTTTATTTCTTATTTTATTTTTTATTTCTTAGACTTAACAAAATAGTAATGAATGCTTAAAATATAGTTTTTGGGGGGAGAGTACTGAAAGCAAGTAATTATATCCTCCTTAATACTGCAGGTGTTTGTGAGGGTAAAACATTAGCTTAGTGTTCTCTCTGACAGTAGCGAGACAGGGGAAAAATGGCATTACAGTCGTACCTTGGAAGTCGAACAGAATCCGTTCCGGAAGTCCATTCCGAGTTCCAAAATGTTCAGAAACCAAAGTGTGGCTTCCGATTGGCTGCAGGAAGCTCCTGCAGCCGATCGGAAGTCGTGGAAGCCCCAGACATTCGCCTTCCAAAAATAGTTCACAAACCGGAACAGTCACTTCCAGGTTTGCGGTGTTCGGGAGCCAAAACGTTCGAGAACTAAGCTGTTCGAAAACCAAGGTACGACTGTACTGTTAAGATGCAGAACCAATCAAAACAAAACCTACCACAAGGGGTGAGTGCTACCCCACTATAGTACCTTCAGTAAATAATAAACCTTGTTTTTTCATTGTTTGTTTAATCAGGAGCAGCCAATTTGGTTGATGCTGTGGACTACAGCTCCTGTTATATCTGACCATTGGCCATGCTGGGGGATGATGGGAGCTCAAAATATCTAGAGGGCACAAGGCTGGCTATGCCTGTTTTGAATGGGTGTGTGCATGTGTCAAACACTGGATTTCTGAGGACCATGCTTGGGGATTTATCTAAGACCAGACCCAGCCATCTCCAAAGTGTGGGGCTAACCAAAAGCAGATCAAGTGAGCCAACCACTTCCCTTTTCCAAACGTCTATGGTAACAAGGCTCTAGATCAGGGATAGCTAACGTTCTACTCTCCAGATGGACCATTGACTCCAATGGTCAGGGATGATGGGAGTTGCACAACAGCATCAAGTTGGCTATCCCTGCTCGAGTAGGTGTCATGAACACGTGCAGCGGCATTCAAGATCAGAGGAATCCTGGATAGATTAATTTCCATAGATCACAGACTGGGACATTGGGACCCAAATTCAAGGTGTTGGTACTAACATAAGGTCCTATAAAGCTCAGGACCAGGTTACTTTAGAGACTGCCTTATCCCTTATGTACCCAGTAGATCCCTCAGGTCTGCAAGCTTTAAAGATCTCAGAAGCCTGCTCCACATAATAGGGCTTTCAGGGTGGCTGCTCCTGTTCTGTGGAAAGATACACACTACAGTGGTACCTCGGTTTTCAAACGTAATCCATTCTGGAAGACCGTTTGAGTTCTGAAATGTTCGAAAACCGAAACTCAATAGCTGACAGCTAGGTTTTAGGATCTTGCACTCAGTGGAAGCCGTGAGGCAATGTTCGACTTCTGAGGCGTGTTTGGAAACGGAAGCATTTACTTCCAGGTTTACGGCGTTCGAAAACCGAAATGTTCGTCAACGGAAACGTTCGAAAACTGAGGTATCACTGTATCTGCACTTTCTCAAAACAACTGAAGACATTTTTGTTCCAACACAGGGTTTCCAAACTGGACAAATGTGTCTTTGCCCTAAGTGTCTATTTTGCATTGTTTTAGTTTTGTTATGTTTTTGTTTCTTAACCTTTCTCATACTTTCCAGAGGCCTTAGAGATTGCTGCACATGCAGCATCTAGAGCTATCTGAGATCCTTGTAGCAAAGTAAGTTTTGGAAACAGAAAATGCAGTATCAGAGGTCTAGGAACCACTATTTTATGCCCAATCAATAACAGTCCAAACTCTGTTCAACCCAAAAATCTTATATAAAGTCATCAGAAGCTTGGACTTGGAATGTCATGCACATTTAAAAAAGACCTATGAACAATTGACTTTCAAACTGGCACTCGAGAGATATCTCACCAATGAATCCCACCCTGTTTGCTCATCTGTTAATCTCACAATTTCTCCCTTGGTTAATACTTTTAAGATGCAACCTCTACTGACACTGTCAATCTTGCTTGAAACGAAGTGCTGTTCACTTAATCTATGCCTGATGTATTGCTATAGGTTCCTATTGGAACTTCACTGACTCTACCACTAGGGCAAATCATTCCCAACAAATCCTCCCTCAGTTCCTTTTCTTTTCACCTGACGTGGCAGCTGTTAACATCAATAAATGGCAGCACTTCACCAAGGTGAGTGAACATGTAGGCCAGGGGTCAGCAAACTTTTTCAGCAGGGGGCTGGTCCACTGTCCCTTAAACCTTGTGGGGCCAGACTATATTTTGAAAAAAAAATAACGAATTCCTACGCCCCACAAATTACCCAAAGATGCATTTTAAATAAAAGGACACATTCTACTCATGTAAAAACATGCTGATTCCTGGACCGTCCGCTGGCCGGATTTAGAAGGCAATTGGGCCGCATCCAGCCCCTGGGCCTTAGTTTGCCTACCCATGATGTAGGTTTTCATGTGTGGCAAATAAAAAGACAAGCATCATACTGAGCTCATTCTAAACCTCCAATTTCTTTGGGAGAGTTAACTGTGACAACATTACCTCAGAGATGAGGGCCCATACCAGCCTCCGCGCCAGCATCACTGTGATAAATGCTGCCAGATGGTAATCAATGAGGTGAAAGTTCTAAAGGAGAAAAGAACAGCGTATTCACCAGGGTGAAGGAGAGGCCAGAAAGGCAGGAGCTGCTGAGATGACATAGCAGAAGCATGGAAATTCCTATAAAGGAGAACCAGGACACACTGTGAACCATTCCAAGTCTGCCAGATAAAGAGGGAAGAGAAGGGGACAGATTAAGCACATAGAAGCAGCTTGGGAAGGCTACCGTATTTACAACTGCCACTTAGAAAAGAAAACCTAGGAGCAGACATTCTGTAGTTACCTGTGAATTTCTGGGGGGGGGGGGTTGAGGGAAGGAAGGCAGTAAGCATAGGGGGAAAGGCCCCACTCTTCTGGGGTTGTGAAGCCAGCCTTTGGGATCTGGAGGAAGGGACTCTCCCATCAATCTCCAGACACTACAGTGACGTGCGCGCGTGCACACACACACACTCAAACATTAAGTGAAGAGAAAAATGACCAAACACACAAAACTGCACTGGCAACAGCCTCACTCCCTTGAAGGAAAACAGGAGGTGGGGGAAGGGGCTGTAAGTGGGAAAATGACCAGATCAGGATGAGTCACAAAGCAAGGAGGGAGGGGCAGAGTGGGAACCTTTTAGAACTCCATTAGCCCAACAGATAGTAACCCAATAAAGAGAGCACGTAGAGGGAAGACCTGGCTGCCCTCGTTCCCTTGATAAAAACAGGAATTCACAGGCAAGTCCCGAAGATTCATTGCTCCCCTTAAGGGAGGAAGGCAGCTAGTTTAAGGAATGTTGAGAGACAGTACACCCCAGGGCAGGAACCCCAGGGCCAAAACCTCCAAAATGCCCTTCCTTCCCACTCCCCCAAGTGTAGAGCTGCCTTGAGAAGTCGTAACCCAAAGGCTGCCTTTGAGGGAGAAAAGGGGTGCATTTCATAATGTCTGGGAAAAAGAAAGGATGGCAGACTTGGTGATGTCAGCTGAGCTACAGAGACACCATGATTAAAATTCCCTAAGCAAACCGCAAGAAGGGCATGTGGCCAGCAATGTGGACTCACCAGTGATGTACAGGAGGCAGGGTGGTTGTATGGGTACCACCACACGGTCTTATAGATATTAATATACTGAATAAAGAGGGCCACCAGCAGGTAGATGAAAAAGAAGAACTCAAACAGAAGGTTCCCGTCTACAGGCAGCTCAGGGATTCGGCAGTGTCGCACAGGCTCAGGGGTGATCAAGGCTGTAATTGGAGGAGCAGAGAGGCTGATAGCACTACCATTCCTGAAAAAGAGAGAAACAACACGTCACTAACTCTTGCCAGTGTTCCTGGGATATCTTACCCTATTGTGGGTTAAATGCTTAGCATTCAGAGTATTTAAATCAGTGCTGGGGGAAACCTCTGCCTGCAATTTTGGCCAAGCGACACCCACATGCTCTAGCCATGGCTCCTGTAGGGTCTACCTTTCCTTTGCAAGAACAGGCAAATCAAGCTATTGTTGCCGCCTGCAAAATGCTACCTTGGTTATTGCTGCTTGCAAATACAGTGCACTTTGCAAGCACCGTCAATCAACTGACCTTCAGTGATGCAAGTGCCACCATGATCTCCAGCGGTTCCAAAGTCCTGAAAGGTTTGCTCACTCCTGGCAAAGCTAACACTAGGGGGGATGGGGAAAGAAAGGATCTGGTGTGCTGGCCGGATCCAGTTTCCCACATCAGGTTTAAATTGTTCAATGTTAACTACCTCAAGAGATCTTACAATTCTTTAACATAGGTCAATATGTTCATCCCCATATTGCAGATATGGGGCATATTTGTCTAAGGTCAACTAGTAAGAAAATCACAGAAGAAAGGACTGAACTGGGCACTTGTTGATATGCATCTTAACCACTGTACTACACTGAACAGTCCTTAACACAAAAAAGCAAAGTACTACACACAGCACTCTCAATGATTTAGAACAAGTGATTTCTCTCTCTCTCCACACAGCCTCTGGTAGTATGGGCTGTGACATGAATGACGAGTAGCACCTGACCACAGGCAAGCGCGATGCATGCCTTTGTCAAGAATTTGACACTTTTTAGCCTAGTATGGTGGGATGGAAACACACATGTCACATATGTCCTGTGTCCTTCCACGGACACCCCTTGTTTTGCCACTTCTGCAGAAGCCAATGCCAGAAAAAATGGAGCTCAGACCACCAAGCAGAGATACCAGATTTTCCCCAGCCTAATCCTGTTCCAGCTTTGTCTGTTGTACCAAGAATAAGATAATGTAACCAAGCAACCCCCTGACATTAGATGCCTAGCAGTGCATTCCAATCCTCTGGCTTCCTTATCTTAGCTTTCTCAACCTTCAAAACTTCTATGATATGCAATGTTTATTAATGAGCAATGCTCAAGTCAAGGCCACAATTTGAAGGAACAACTGGAAATTAAAATCCAACTAGCTGGAAAAGACACCCCATGACCCAGTGAATATCCAAATCTGAGCGCCAACTCTTGGAATGCTCAGAAGAACAAAAAACAACTGGCTTTTTGTGACATTTAAAGATGCTTGGATGAAAACACTTGTATGTGTAACCTTGATATAAGAACTATTGCTTTCTTTTCATGTACCTTATGAACTGGAACTGATGGGCCACCTGAGGGGAAGGGGTATGTAAAGGCTTTCAGGTCACACAAATGCCTGAGGTGGCAACCCACCTGAATCTCCATCGCCCAACCGGAGTATGAGATATAAAATGAGCCAAACACAGAGTCAGGCAAACACACACTGTCAAATTTAGGGCAACAACAAGTGTAAAGAAACAAGATTCTTGTGAACCCAAGTGTGACCTGATGATGACAAGTAATAACAAAAGTTCTGTCTCCCACAATTAAGCCCACAATATTGTGTTTTGACTTAACCTGTTTCTTAGACTAGTGCCGTTGCCACAGTTCCCACCAACCAACGTCTGGAGAGAAGGCAAAGCTGAACGGCTTAGCTGCTGCCGACTGGGTCCCCTCCTTCCACCGGGCATGACCAGGAACCAATCCACCTCTTCCACCTCTGGCAGCCTTTGCCCTGAGATCTAGGTAACAATTCGCAAGACTTTCCAGCTCTGCAAATGAGGGAAAAGAGCAAGAAATTAGTTCAATTGTGCCTCAAGCATCTGCCAAAATGAACCAAGTGCCTTAGATAACTCCCATGGCCCCAAAAGTAGCCTTTTACAAAGTGTCAAGAAGCATATGGATTGGAGGAATTCAGCTGGCACGGTGTACTTCAGACACTTACAATAAAATCCTGCAACAAAGAATCCTGAACCAGCTTATCAGCCATGAGATAAGACAACAGGATTTATGGAGTACTAACTTAAGTTTAAAGAAAAGGAAACAGAAAGAAGAAACAACAGGCAGTTCTCCCAGTGGAAGGATGAAGTGAAACGCCCCCCCCCCCCCCCGGATTGGTATTGGAAGGACGGGATGCAAGACTACACTGGTTTTTGGTCCGATTTTGCAGGGCTCTTCTAACATTCTTATCTAAAATATTAGCAACATTCCTTAACAATCAAAGCACCCGAGAGTTTTGACTTCAGCAAAATGTCTGCAGAAAATCCTCACTTGGGTGACTAGCTGCAAAGAAGTCAATGCTACTGGACCCCTCATATGAATAGGGCATTTTGGCAAGTGTAACTTGAAGCACGATACTTTGGATCCTACTAAAACAAATAATTATATTTCCGCTCTGATACATCGGAAGACGGATTTGAATGAAGACAGTGTTGTTTCACAACAGTGGCATATGTGAGACAGTACCCGGAATTTCTGGATCCCAGTCTATTAATTGCACTTTTGTTTCTACTTTCGCTGTTCCCCAACTACCACCTGGGAGTAGAAATCCACACCTCACCCTCAGCCCACGTCCGGGAACATAACCATTATAGGTTAGAAGATAGGTGGGGAATCTGTGGCCTCTCCAAATGTCCTATGCCTAGTTCCCATCTACCCCAGCCAGAATGGTCAATAGTGATGGACTATAGACATTGTAGACATTAGGAAGGCCACATAGCCACCAAAATTAGGAAGATAATATAGTCAGGGCACATACTGCAGATCATTTTTATAGCACCACCGATGTGCATGACATTGTTTTAATCTAGACTCACACAAAAGAGTAAGTTGCCATGACTAACAATCATTTCAAGCTTTCCTCCTTCACTTCAAAATAATTGTCAGTAATAGCTATTGGTCCTATATTAAATTAGTATTGAAAGTTGAAAACCAGCATACGACGTTTCCTATTGGGAGGTTTATATGAACAATGATGTGGCCTAGGTTGTGGTTGACACTGATTTATTTGGGATGGTGAAAACCCAGAACAGAAACAATCAACTTGGCACACAGCAAAAACGAAAGGACAATTCCATGTTAGGGATTATTAGGGGAGAAAATGAAAAAAAGACGGCCAATATGTGTTTATGGTGTACATTGCGTTTGAAATCTGTATACAGTTCTGCTTGCCTCATCTACAGTGTAAGTTCAGAGAAGGGTAACAAAACTCAAAGGGTTGGAGTCCCTTAATTTATTTGTATTTTAGTACATAAATATGTACCCTGCTTTTCCATTAATAATGCCCAAGGCAACTAACATTATAAAAAAGAAGGTCAGAAGTAATGTAATAAGAACTTCTAAAAGCAGGCCACAGAAAATACGACTGGCAAATGTCTGACAAAGCAGATGAACCTTTAACAGGCACGAGATCACTCAGGGCAGGGAGTTCCAGAGGAGTTCCCATAGGAATTTCCCTTTGAGGAAGTGCTAGAGAATTGTTTCCTCCTCAAAACCAGACCTCAGGGTTGCACAGTGAAAATGGCAGTTGATTTAGGACTAACAGAAGAGAGTACCTCCCATGAGGCATAATTAGAGTGAATTCTGAAAGTTGTGAAGATCGCCTTTGTCTTGGATGACTTCAAAAGGGGGTAATACAAGTTCATGGAGCATAGCGATTGTAGAAACTAGTCACTGATTAATCTAAAGGGGCGCCCATGTTCAGAAGCACAGCACCTCTGGATAGTAGCTGCCAAGGATCAAAACAAGGGAGGTTGTGAGCATCCTGGAGACATCCTGCTTGTGAGCATCCTGGAGACATTTGGCTGGAAATCTCATGCGGTTGGAGCCACTGTTGGAAACAGGATTCCAAAACAGATGAACTAGTAGCACTCTTCGATTATGAGTGCCGTTACTTCACTTGACCAGTTGAGATGCTACAAGGTGATATTTTGCTGCCAAGGCGTAGGCCTCTATTGAGAATTAACAGGTGAAGCAAGCATGTTGATATGGTGGGGCTGCCAAAAGATGCAAATAAAAGATGAGAACATTGTGTATATCAAAATAGGTTTTGCGGCCATGCAAACTTAGATCAAAATATTACCACTTATTCAGGGGATAAGAACTCAATGTCCTAATCACTTCCTGTTTTTTACTCTCAGTGTTGTTATCTACATTCCTGCCCATGGTAAGTTATCTACTGCCACATTAAAACTGCAAGACAGGATACGTATCTAGACGGGTTTCCTGGGATCATTTAGTAACTGCATCACATGACAGCATGGATTCACTTTCAACTGCCTTTTACAAAATAGGGGAATGGTCCAACCACATTAGAAGTGCTTCAGTCCTGTTGATTCTAATGAGAGAGATATCAGAATGTGCTTAGTTTTATCACTGAAAGCTTTAATTAAAATATATGCAACATTCTGTTACGATTTGGAGAGCCAAGTCTTTGCTCAGTTGCAATTATTTTGTATGTCTAAAGACCTGTATGTATTGCAGCAACACTGTTTGCCTTATGGAGTCCAGCTTCCATATTGACACACTGGACTTTCGAGTTCAAAGTTGGCAAAATCTTTTATTTACTGACCTTGGATAACACTGTCAATCAGAATAAAATACTATTAGTAGGGGGGAAAGCAGCATGTACATAAAACTGACTTTTCGTTCAGATTCCCTGATTACTGCTTTGTGACTAAAGATTTTAAAGAGAGTAGAGAAAATGATGTTATGTGAAAGAACACAAAAACATATGTGCATTTAAGGGAAGCCAGAATTACTGGCGACAAAGGCTGACAAGATCCTAAACACTTGCCACTTTGGTAGAAAAAGTGATTCTACTGGCATCGCAAGAACAACTAATCACAAAATGTAGAATTTTAAAAACTTGCTAAAAAGGAAAAAAAATTGTTAAGCTTTGGATAGAGATAGGTAATAGAGAAAAATTTGGCTAGATTTTGGACAATTGTGACAGCATTTGAAATTCCCATTATTCTAGGCACATGTGAAAAATGAACATAAGATTTTAGCTGCAGTTCATTCATTTTCAGTTTTGCATTCTTGTTATAAAAAAGTGTGCCTAGACATTCCATTGTTGTGCCCATAACCTAGGTTTAAGGTGCGATTTAGCTCCTAGCTTTCATATCTCAGTTTCTAACACTGAATTGTTATCATATGGAATGAGGGACTATTACTACTACTAATTTATCCGCCCTTCACCCTAAGGTTCCTGGGTGGGTTACAGCCGTGGTTTGGCCTAGCATTATGTCTGCATCCAGGCTCACAGTTTTAACTCGCTTAACGTTATGTGTGAACTGGACCAATATACTGTAAGGCAATATTTTTACTATGCAAGAAATCTTGATTTGAAATGTGTATATATACTCCACCTCTTATAGTAGAAGGCCCACAAATCAAAAGAACTGGCAAACCGCTTCTGCCTCTTCTTGCTAATGGTTAGGCAATTCTATCTGCTGTATTCACTGTTTCTGCAAACACCATATTCAGTGTCATTGCATATAAACATAATACATTCAGATAACTTGCCATGTCTGCTTACATGCAGAAGCCAAATTACTCATATTGTGCACCCTTCAGTTTTATTAGGAACCATTACTATTAATTATTTTTGAACTTTTAAACTGCCCTTCATCATAAAGGCTCCCTGGATGTGTGTGTTTCTGTACAAATCAATATAAAATTAACATTATAAACACATGGATATACAACGTAATTACAGTCAATGGAACCAAATCAGTAATTCAGCAGCAGCTCCTCCACACACAAGCATAAAAAAGTGATTAAACATGCAAAGGAGCTTAACGTGGTAGACAACCAATGCACCACTGACGGGGAGAAAGTTCCAGGAAAATGGGGCACCCTGACAGAGAAAGCTCTGCATTATGCTCCCTCTTAACTGCCACACTCGTTGGCAGAACCATGAGAAAGACCTCTTCAGTCAATCCTAAGGGAGGAATTCAACGCAGCACTAGGAATATCATTTTTGCTTGCCTGATAGCAAGATCTCCCCCTCTCTGTCCCAGTGCGCTATTCTGGGGGCTATCGCAACCCACCCAAGCCAATCTGGTGGTCGAGGAGGAAGTGTCGCTGTGGAAGTCCTTGTGCGTACTTCTACTAGCAAGATGTATTAGCTGGATTGAGCCCTCAGGCACAGGTCTGCAAATACAGTACCAAGGAAGGCACTCCTTCAGATATTTGACTCTTAAGTCATTAAAAGCTTTATAAACCAAAGTTACTCCCTTGAATTGGGCACAAACTGGTAGCCAGTGCACCAGCAGAACCAGTATTATGTGGTTCATTCTTGCTGTACTACTCAGAACCTATACAGCTGCTGTCTTAAAAAGGAACCTCACATCTAGGACATTAGACTAAGGCTTAGATATTAGCCAAAAAGTGGGGCACCATCAAGCGCTGGGACTTTGCCCCTTTACTTCACACAAACGAAACCTGACTACTCCCAGAGAGAGTCGGAAACAGGGCTGGCCCAAGCGCAGCCGACAATTTAAATTCTGTAACCGAGATAAGATCATTGGTATACGCGTGGGTAGCAAATATTTAATCCATGTTTAAACTTGGCACCAACAACCCATTAAAATCACAACAGTGAAATGCCCATCAGTGGGGGCAGCCAGGAGCAGGTAAACAGTACTGGGAAGGGAAAGTATTAGACTTTCCCTGTATTAGACGGCTTTGCACAGCTCAGCAGCTTTTTCCATAATGGAGATAGCTTGGAGCTGGCAAAAGCATGCGAGTAGGAAGTCTGGGAACCACC